ACTTTCGCAAGGCACTGTATATATGTGTACATGTGTGTCCTGGTTCATCACTGTCCTTACACACTCCTGCATCAGCGTGGACCAACTCAAAAACAATTACCATGACAGGACTCTGAACTATGATTAAAAACCATAAGACAACGATACTAAACAAAACTATACAAAAGGGAGCTGTTAACATCAAAGCTGTGAGTGATGAATGAGCTTTCGTGCTGTGTGGAAAAAACAGATCAGAGGAAGGCAACGACAAAAGCGCAAAGGCCAGAGAGGAGCAGAGGATAACCCACAGATGTAGCAGGTGGAACGTGTCTCTCTGACTCAAGTGATTGGATCAGAGGCACAAGACAAGCTGCAAGATCAGGCCTATGCATGCAGTTCAACCTCCGAAAACAACACACACAAACAAATCTGAGTAAAGAGGGTTACAAAACTAATCAGAGCACTGTGTTCACTGTGAAAGATGAATCTCAATTAAATAAGAAATGCAATATTATTGGCTGCAGTTAACAAAGATTGCTTGGCTTCCTTTACAAACATCAATTCTTCTTGCATAATGACAATCAGGCAATCCCTCTGTTGAGAGCTATAAAACACAGTTTTACATTTAAGCATCACTGCAAATGTCAAAAGTATGCAAATAGGAGTAGCATGGAGAATGAACATTTTAAACTCAATTTTGATACTAATGAATAGACTCAAATACCAATTTTCATACTATAATGAGGATTCAACATTTTCAGAATTTGCTTAAACTTATATGTTTTTAAACGTATGTATTTTTTAATTTTTAACCTTTAACATGTTTGCACACGTCTGTCTTTTGCACAATCTGAGTGTTTCTAACTATGCCAAATGTGAGATCAATTAAGTCTGTCTAATCCTATCTTCATGCTTTATTATCAAGTAATACATCTTACAAATACAGTATAATTTAATGGTTATCCCTCAAATTCGTCATGGTGTAGAAATCAAATGTTGCATTGTATTCGCAAAATATTTTTGAAAAATGTTAATGATCAGCCCTGCAGCCCTGATCTGCACAAACCTGGGGGCATAATAAGTGACAAAAAGTGCAAAGGGACAAATGCCAGACATTTGGTATTTAACTTCCCACACGGTGTTAACAAAGCACTCCTTACAGAACTACAAAGCACTGTGTGTCTGTCGCACAAAAACATTTCACTGCATCAAAACATAGACAATATCTGGCGAGAACTTGTGTTGCCTAAAAGTGAGGCGCCACAAAGTGAGACCTGTGTTTAGGTGCTGAGTGTGTTGACGATGTGTTTTCACCATTAAGACAAAACTCATTAACTGCGCGAGCTCCAAAGAACATTGTGAAGCCTTTGGCAAAAATCCACTTGTAGACAATTCTCCAATAAATGTGCAACTGTTGGGAAACTCTTACTCCGCACGGACGCAACAAACGAGCCAAAGCACTTTAGCACCTATTTTGGTCACAAAAAAGTAGATTGCTTTGTCATAGATTAAACTATTTTGTTTCAACAGAAATCATTAGCCAGATCGTTACGCTAGTTTAACAAATGAAAACAAGTATGCTGGCTGCACAATATTGAAACAGTTATTTGAATTCAGACCACAGGAGTTTTTGTCTCATGAGATTTTAAATAGTGACACAGACAAAACGGTAGGAAGGAAACAATATTACATTTATCATCAACACTTTTTACATTTACTTGACCAAATCTGGGCAAAAGTTTTGTCTCATGAAAGGAAAAGGAAGATGTATCTAAACGATTTCAATGAGTCCAACGAACAGCGCCATGTTTTACATAAACACTGTAGCAGAACTTTCACTTGTAAATCAGGTCTTTTATCTGCCATATTTTCAGTAGAACAAATTATGACCAGGGAAGAAAACATTGCTGTTTTACCAAGTGGCCTGAGCATGCTGCAGACCTTGGGCACGGCAGCAACAGCGGCACTGCGCTCAGGACACTTTATATCTTGATTCTTTTCTTCACGAAGGACACGGTGAGAGGCTGCATCAGGTGAGTGTGTTTGTTGGCGGCTTGGACACTATTTGCTCTGGGTCTGTGGTTTAACTACAGTGAAGTAACATACTTGTTTCTAATGCAGTAACTGTAAAATCATCAAGGCAAAACAACATTTAGATCGACCCAAGCAACAAGGACAGTTGAGACCTGTAGCTCCTTTTAGCGTATTTTTAGCTTTTAGTTTTAAAATAACAAACCAGAACGTGGTAAAAGATGAGCGATACTGTTCTTCACTCCACTGACAAAAAACTGAAAATATAAATAACAGATTTAATATCGTTTGTATTGGACATAAAACGTCAGAGCTGTTTGATTGCAGAGATGCCCTTGTAGGTGGCACTTGACCCTTGAACACTCGGGTACTCCTAATGCACCAGAGCAAGATTACACTTTCCTCTGCAAGGCTAAATATATTCATAGCAGAGGAGGGCGGCGCACTCATCTAAACCCAATCACAAGTGCCTCGTACGTCTTTGTTTTCTATACATTAACCCTGAATACCTTGGAATTACACGGGGGCAAATATTAGCACCGGAAGCTGACTACCGCTATTAACACAAGCTTATTCTTCATTGAACTTCCTCTTAACAAGGTACAAATTGGCCCGCTGTAAAAACACTGTCAGTCAAGTTGTGATCCGAGATGAGCTCTGCACAAAAGTTGTGAAACAAGACTCCATATGAAACAAATGCAGAGACAAGAGGCAGTGTCCACAGCAGATACTATCTATAACCGCTTAGTTCAAGAACTTCACAAGGGTTTAGAATAACACTTATTAAAACATGTCTTAAAAATGGTGCTGTCATAATTGTCTATTATTTGTCATTTGTACAAAGGATGCAAGAATAACCCCAATCAAATCAAATAAAAAATTTGGATTTCTCAATAAGCAAAGGGCTGAGACTGCAATTATTCAGCTCATATCATAATTTAATTCAAAAACATCAAATTATCTATTTGCATAAAATAAAAACCATGTCTTTTAGCATTTTGTAGTGTGATTATTTATGATTTTACTAGTAAGATTTCAATGCTTTCTCTCTATATTTTTACACCTTGAGTTTCCCTATGAATTGTGCAATACAAATTAAAAGGCTGAGAAAGTGTGACTTCAAAAGTAAAAAATACACTAATAAAACCCTGAGTATTATGACTAATTTGATTTGCTAATGGAAAACGCAAGTCTGGTTTTATTTAACTTGGTTTTAAGACCAGTAGATTGAATCAAACAGATATATATAATCTATAATACCAAGATCGATACATATAAAAATAAATACATATCGATCATATCTTTTCCATCTGAATGATCCCTGTGCACTTATTATCAATAGCAAAAACACACATTTAAAAAAAATAGTTATTGTGACGTATATGGAGAAAAATTGAGACATTTCTTTCAAATTTTGTGCTATCGTGATTTTTTTTTTTTTTTGTAGCCAGTTCAAGGACGGGAACTCTGCCACAAACGGCCCGTCGTCATCAGGTGAAGTGACACAGAAGCAGTGACACCATGGGCAGCCTTCTGTGGGGGAGGGGTCTGTCACGTCCAGTTTATCCATACATGTGAGCCTGACATTAATCCAAAAAGAAGTGGCCTTTTTTAAATAGAAATGAATGTCATTCTTGTTACATAAATGTCACCGGTGGTCACTGTTACAAAGGTTCACAATTTCCAGTGGAACATTTTCTCCCGTTTATAAATTCATGACCAAATATCAATAAGAGAGGACCAACAGCTCGGATAATGTCCTTTGTTTTCTAAATTCATTGTTTCTTTAAAAGGACAATGGTTTGAATCATTAATGAGTTGAGAAATAGGATAGGTTAGGCTTTGCCATTGTGATAATAAACCATTTAAAATAGTAATTATATTGTATCCATGGAGGGGCTCTTCAAGTTGTATCTTAAAACATGAAGCTGAAAACCTTAGGTGGGCAGAAATGCAGTAAAATGTTATGATTGTACCTTCACGAAGCAAATGATGGCAGTATTATGAGCATAAAGCCACCACAGCTACAGGATAACCCGAAAACTCTTTTGGACTCGTGTGTGTCCTCATCTTATCTTGATTATTTATACAATGAAAAAACAAAATCTAACGTATATATTATATTGTTCTTCAAGATTGTGTGAAGAGTTCTTCTGTATTTACAAATCCCTACAGGAATTAAGCTTTTCTAACTGGTCTTTATTGTGTTTTTGATGTGGACCATGTGTTAGGCAGTAAAATACAAGATATTGAACAAACTGAGAATTACAGATTTCAAAATAAACTGTACAAAGTGTTATCAGCAAACTAGGAGCAAAGAGATGCAACTTCATCCAACACTGCATGAAGTTGCAGTTTGTTCATATTGACGCTACTGATACTAAGATGCTCTAAGAACTGCTAAAATAATTACCTTATTTATTTTGGATGTAAACATGTACAGTTTAAAGGGGGCACACACTGCAATAGCAATACCTTACAAATATGATGACATATACAGGAAGATGTCAGGGGACCAGAAACCAGGCAATAACCTAATAAATTGCAGGCTCACTTCCAATTTCATTATCACTTTATATCATCAGAAATTTGCTCTAAAGGTTGTATTTCACATTCACAAGACCTCAAACCGCAAACCAAGCTCTATATACCATTATATCTCAATATGCTCCATGCTGTTATTCTACAGTACCTGAGCACTTTGGCAACCTCCAGAGTTTCCACATTACACCAGCACTCACATTAAGAAGAGAGAAGGAGATCCTCTGCCCTGACTACAGTAAAAGTTGACACACACTCACTTTCAACACACAATGCATCCTTTACTTTACTCTCTTTGCCTCTGGCATTATTATAATGCATTTTTCCAACCTAACATAACACCAACTGTGCCTAAACAAATATTGTGGATGAAAATGTGAGGCAAATCATGTGAGAGGAAAGACAGCAGCATACATGGTCTATAGCAGCAACATAGTCCTTTAATAGATCTAGAATCTGTGTTTACCTTGGCACTGGAATCCTTGTTTGCCGAATCCCCTGTAAAAATAAAAATAAAAATAAGACAATGTCTCATTATGAAAATTAAACTGGCAGCAACAGGGAAAAGGTAACACCAGGAAAATATAAGTAATGCACAATAGGAATTCCACTTAAATGATTTCCAAATAGCTAAGTTTAAGACGATAACATCCCTGATACCTACAGCTTTTAATGCGAAAGCAAACAAAGCCCTATGCAGTCTCACAGGTAAACTGGGTGGTGTCTGCACTGGGAGACCAGACCGTCTTCTTTATGAGAAAGTGCATTAAGTCAATAGGCGAGGCCTTGTGACTCTGCTCCACGAGTTCAGATCCATGCATCACATCTGGATGTTATAACCCACTGCAGTTCAGGAGAGCAGTGTGGGGCACCAGATGTGGCGATAACAACGATTGGGAAGAAATGATAAATACTTGAAGATGTGTAGGGCCTGTGTACAATGTCACACAATTATACAGTAATCAATTCTTTACCATTTTATTCTGCTGGTGTCCCAGAAAACAACATGTATACAGCCTAACTCCTCCCATCTGGCAGTAGACTGCAGCAGAGAGGAGAAAGAATCTTGTATGAAACATAGAAAACACGCCCACTTGTACCGCTGAAAACTTTGATGTCTTTACGAAATAACCGCTTCTCCAAATGTTTCACGACACACACACAATCCAATCAATGTACAAAGTTGTGGCTCAAGTTACATCATCGCGGGACTCCATAAAGCACCCAACTTATCCGACATGCAACAGGCACACGGGGGTGGCACCAAGGCACACCAGGGCTTACCAGATGAAGTCAGTGCAGTGGCTGCAGAAAGTCGGCTGCTTGAAGAACCGTGCAGTGAATTTGTGGTCTTTTACCACATGCACGTTCTTTTGCCTTAGAGCTCCTTTGCGAGCGAATCTGTTGGCCACGTCTGAGGTGGACGGGTCGCTGGAACTGTCAGTCATGTCTCCGGATGAGCAGTGCGGGTTTTCCGGGGATCAGTCCGCTTCTGATGAGCTTCTGTCGGTCCAGAGGCAGCGGAGAGTTGACAACAGTCACGGAGCCTGTGACTGGCTTTCCCTGGCTGTCGACTGCTGCGGACTGGGCTGCTCCGCTGACAGCGCTCTGCGCGTCACACGCACGGACTGCGAGGAACCACTTCCGCTTCAGCAGTGAAAATAAACCTATACTCTACGCTCTTCAGGTCGTGTCTACACTATTGTTACATATCCATTGTTACACTACACGCATAGTTTGTTTCATATACGCACGTTTACAGATACTAAAGGTTATATAACAAAATAAAGACCGCCACATTTGGGGGAAATGACATGAGCCTATTGTCCATACAATAATCCACAGCCCAGCTAAAGTAAGATTATTGTTCTCATAAAGGGGTCCATTACACGCACCCACTAATACGATGTTCTTGATTATGGGCCTTTGTGTTAGTTGATTTGGCACTGGCATCATCCTGGCGTGGATGTGGATCATCTTATATTATACCCAGTTATAGCCTGGACTTTATTATTAAGGTGTGTTTCCTGTTGTAGGTTGTGAATTGTGTGTAACTTCCCTCCCTTGAATGAGGCGCTTCCTTTTGCTCACTGGGGCTGATGTCACGCAACAGGCTGGGTGGAGGAGGGTTCGGGCCCCGCAGCTGGACCTGGGGCGTAAGCGCCCCCACGTGGAGATACGATGGACTACAAATGACCATAGTTGATCAGAACGATGCATAGTTATATTTTGCATGTCGGATTACAGCTAGTAAACTGTGAACTACAAATTTAAAAGTAGTGGAATGGGAGAGATAATTAAAAATGATCTCAAGTTTAATGATCACGATCACATTCATAAAGCGCTTTTATATTTTTCAAATTCAAGGCACTCAAAGTGCTTTACATCAAGGAACTATAAGGACACACAGCAGCATTCACCAATGGGAACTAGTTTCACGCCTGCAAAACGGGACGGTCAACTAATGATGTATATCGGCCTATCACTGTAGCGACCGGGATTCGAACCCGGATCTGTCCTCCCTCATGCGTTCTACCAAATGAGCTTGTGCCGCCGTCTTCAAATGTGAGTTTGCCTACACAAATATCAATCCTGCAATGGGATGACAAAAAATATGTCCAATTAAATAAAAGTAGAAAGTAGCCATACAACAAATACAGAGTCTTTGTAATTGTTTAGAGTTTTAATTGTACCCATTTACCTTCAACCAAATTGCTAAGACTTTCCTGCTACTGCATGTAACAGCTCAATATTCCCAATAGAAACAGAAGGTTAAATATAAAACTCATGTACAGTATATCATTTCAACAATTAATGTAACATACAGCCAATGCAGATATTGTCCTTTCGATCCAAGTGAGTAAATATACAGAGAAGACCTTTGTGCTTTGTCAATATGTACATTTGATTGGCTAACTCTTTTCTGTGTCTGATTAAAACTCCCAACCTCATCGCACGTCGTGTTGCTTCACTTTTCAAGATGATGTCTCTAACCTGGTCCGTCGTGCTCCTTTGTCAATTTTTCCTTTATACAACGGTGACATCCAAAAAAGGTAACCTATACCACTATAAACACAGTATTTATTTCAGCGTTCTTAATGTTGTTTTTCAATAGTATGTGGTCGCCCTCCCATCACCGACGGCATTGATGAGTCTGTGTTAAAGCGGGTGTATGAAGCAGGAGAAGAGGTGACACTCACATGTGAACGTGGATATCTGCCTTCAACCCCCAGTCCAAGAAGGATCAGCTGCTCCGGGACTGGGGACTGGACCAGCTCCGACCTGGCCTGTTCTCGTGAGCATACACACAACACATTCAACACAAACAAGTAACTTTTTCTCGAACATGAAACACACTGTTTATGGATCTTCCACAGCTATAATGTGTCCAATCCCAAAAGCTTTGCAATCTCTGGCAATGGGACGAACTGAAGCACCATTCAAGAGTATTCTCAACTTCACGTGTGATGATGGGTAACTTACAATCAAGAGTTGGATGAAAACAAGTCGTGAAGGCGTATTGACAGTCATCATTTTCTATTGTGACAGCTACGTTATGCTGGGATTTAATAGTAGCAGCTGTTTGCATGACGGTACATGGGACAACCCCCCACCAATGTGCAAAGGTAATCCCATGCGGCGTGCCATGCAGTTTTCTATTCTATTTTATTTTATTTATCCGTAAGGAACTTTGAAATTTTAGTGTTGCATCACCAGTTCAGAACAGTAGGAATGAGTAGCACACAGCACAAGATAAATGAACAAAAGCTCTAAACTAAATAATAGTAAAATAAAAATGTCTAACACTAGTATGACAAAGAAACAAGTATTACATCTCTATCTTTATCATAATGCGTGCAAAAAACTATTTAGCATAATAACTTTAAGACTAAAGTTAAATAAGACTTTAGGATAATAAAGAAGTATAAAATCTCTTTGGCATAATATGAAGCAGGTATAAAGTATTGTGTATATAGTGCAAGTAATATATAGTTGTATGTATACATCTGTACATGTGAGCTGCATGAGGGTATGTGACAAAGTGACTAAGCAGAGCAACAGTAACACATGTGCTTCTATATTCTACATTCTGAAATTGGTTCAAGATATTGCACAGATGCATAAACTTTGAGAAGCTCCACCCAGATAATAACGGCTTATTAACCGAGCGCGAGGTCTGTATGGCAAAATATCTTTGTACAGACCGAGCAAGCAAGGTTAATAAATGTTTTATCATATGACTCTCGTCTGTGTCTTTACCAATGCTTTTGAGATATTTGTGGAGTATGTTCATGTCCGACTTGGTTTTGTGTGATACGCACTGCAGACAGATTGTCATGGTAACGGTCCGAGGAAAGTAATCAAATGTGATACGCGCTGTTGGGACTAATTGTCATGGTAACGGTCCGAGATGGGAAAATATCAGACCGGTAATCAGCCAATCAGAGCGCGCGTACGGTCCAAGTCATATAATAAGTACATTTATTTGAATTGAATATTCTACCTGGTTATTCTTTTGTCTTCTGTTGCAGCTGTGAATTGCCCATTGCCAAGGCCACCTGTTGATGGAAGAATAGTGCATGAAAAGAATCCCTTTACTGGTACTAATACAATGTATGGCCAAGGCTGGACGTACGAGTGTAACTCACCTAAAGCACCCAGTTATGAGAGAGGATCTTGTACGGCAGATGGAACAGTTCCAGAGCCGCCCACTTGTCGAGGTCATACAACAAACAACAAGTTTTCCAATTATAAAAAATGATATATTTCTTGCACTAAATGAAATGGTGAAAAATGCAATTTCTTTCTAAAAGAGGTCAGCTGCCCCATTCCTACAAGTATACCAAACGGAGTCATCACGTTTGCTGTGATGAAGGAGCATCGCTATAAGGAAACTGTAAAATATGCTTGTAATGAACATTATGTCATGGAAGGCGAACCTGATATACGATGCACAAATACTGGGAACTGGTCTGCGAAGCCTATTTGCAAAGGTATGCGCCTTATTCCCTGGTTTTAATATGTTAAATTCTGACAGTTGTTGATTATTTTCCACCAAGCACCTTGTCAAGTTGCAATCAAAAGGGGCCGTATCTTCTACAATGCCAAAAAGATCTGGATTGAAGATTTTAAACCAAACCGGGTCCTTCACAAAGAAGTTGTTGTCTTCTACTGTAAAAACAAGCCAGAGAAGTGTGGCTACCCAGTGGCCAGTGTCTGTAATGATGGAATCCTCCCTCTTCCAGAATGCTTTGAGGGTAAGCATCCATCAGGTTTTCATAATATTGCACTTGTCTTGTTGTAAATCCACAGAATAATAAGTGTGTTTTTTTACTTTAAGAACCAGGCAAAATTGAATACAACCTCAAGGCCAAAACTCTGCCTTCAGAAATTCCAATGTGTGCCGTGCCTCCTCCGGCAGCAACGACCGCCACAAGAACTGTGCAATAAGAGTTGACTTTCCATTATATGTCCAGTTCATAAGACGATTATAAATGAAAATAAAGTGACTACCAAATAAATTCTAAAAAGTTAAATTGTCAGTAAACGATTTCTAGTGCACCGTAAAGCAATGAATAACAATAGTCAATTTAACATATTTATGTAGTTCATATAACACAAGTAAGGCAAGGTCATCTCTGTGAAAAGTGAAAGCTAGACCTCTAAGCTGTGCAGCCTGGTTAGTACTGTGATGGGAGACCATGTGGGAACACATGCTACAGTGGGGTAAGTGCAGCTGTAGTGTTGTTGTGTCCTCAGGCAAGACACTTCCGCCGAATTAACTAGAATGAGTCTAGTGTGTAGATGAATGGTTGGTGGTGGTCAGAGAGGCCAATGGCAGATACTGGTTGCCTCACTTCTGTCAGTGTGCCCCAGGGCAACTGTGGCTACAGTAGAAGTTTATCACCACCGTGTATGGAGTGTAGTCTAAAAAGCGCTGTATAAAACCAATGCATTATCATCTCTGCTTCTGTTGCCTCTGCAACTTGATGAAGTGGATGGGCAATGGACGGAAAAACAAATGGGCTCATGTTTTCAAAATAAAAGTCTATTACTATACCAGATTTTCCCTCTTTCATTTACTGCAACTTGTGTAGTTGATTTTGAAAGTGTGAACTGTTGTGTAACTCTTTGCAAAGGAGCAAAGTCTGTCACCAAACGCTCTATTTCCCCTGAAAGTCACCGGAAATGCAAGAGAGATAGAAATATTTTACAGAAACAGGAATTAGATATTTTCTGGTTGCACTGCAGAGGAACCAGGAGTGACATAAGAGTAAAAGTATGAAGAAAAGAATGATGGACATTTTATCGTTCTTGTTCTGCTCACTTTTGTTTTGGATCAACATCGCAAGAGCGGAAAATGGTGTGTATGTGTTCAATTGATTTCCCTAAAGTTTTACCTCAAACATTAGGACTTTAGTGTACTTTAGTTTATTTAAGGACAGTTACATAAAAAATATGGCAGCACCAGATTTAGCACCATGCTACTTTCCATCTCTCATCCTTGAATCACAATTCAAACATAATTATTTGTAATTATTGAAATTATACAATTTGAAACATTTAGATGAAAACAATATATTGGTTCATTCCTCAACTGTCCTGGTAGTGACTTGCCTTTTTTGTGAAGTTATCCAATATCTTGTGATAGATATGTAATTTCTTTGCTTGAAATGCCAGTCAGTTTTGTTGAAAATGTATCCTCCTCAATTATGGATGATTTTAGAGAAGTATCCTTTTTCTCCACAGAAATAACTTGTAAAATGAAGTTTCAATATTCAGGAAAAATAAAAACATTTAACTGAACCCATGCAAAAAGCGGGTCAACTATCAGGACAATGGGGGAATGCCCATTTAACCAATTAGTTTTTAAAATGGTGAACATGTCAAAACAAAGTATAAAATTGAGTGAAATCAGAAATCCGAAATGATGATTTGATTAGTTTGTTCCAGACCTGAGCTCGGTGACTTGGTCCAGGTGAAGGATTTGCAGCGGTACTTCAGTGCAGGGGTGGTGCTGGCGCTTTCCTGTGCCCCTGGACACACCCCCTACAATGGCCCCCGCACCATCGTCTGCACAAACACTGGGCAGTGGACAAAAACAAAGTTTACATGCAAACGTGAGTCATACAAGTACAACTCTACACTTTGAACAGAGTTAGAGTATAATGTATGTAGGGCCAGACGATCTGGGGGGGAAATACTATTTAGCCAACTTTTTTTATTTTCATTTTATCTTATCAGAATTGGACATATACTTGCACACAGGCCAACTCTATTACTCAAATTGTGCTTATTAACAATTTAATATTTGTTCTATTTTTTTACAGAAAAGCAAATGATTCCTCTTTGTTTTCCTTTCTCGGCCGGCCATGTTGCTTGTTCAATTCTGACAACTTGAGCAAGCATTTTTATTGTTTATTTTTATTGCAGAAAAAATACCTGGAATATGTCTCAAATGTGCTCCAACACTGAGCTTGTTCTGATCCGTTCAAATGTCCTGTCCTAAGTTGTGTAATATTTTATTTCTCAATAATAACAGTTTCCTCTTCTGCACAGCTGTGGAGTGCTCATCCCCAGATGCTCCTGTGAATGGACAAATGCACTATGAAGATTTACTATACCAGAGTGTGGTCAACTTTACTTGTGATGATGGGTAAAAGCCTTCTATTAATGAACAAAATATAGCCGAGGGCTGGTCAGTATGATTAAAAAGTATTGATGGACAAATATGTATTGTCTTCATATGAATTAATTAAAATAGTCAACAGTATACATTTTCTTTAATAAATTAAATGAAAAATAGAGACATGTTTTATGTAAACATGTATTTCTTACAGGTACATCTTGACAGGAGCCAGCAGTGCTTCATGCCTTATTGACGGTAGCTGGAGTGTACAAGAGCCACAATGCAAGCGTATGTCACTCGGCTTAAATCATTAGAGCTGAAATTTACTATTTTGGCAATTGATTAGTCTAAAAAAATGTTTTTTTATTAATTTATTTAAGACCCATGATTGAAATTACAACTTGCAATTACAACTTACAATTGCATTTACTATAGCTGTCCACAGGCATAACACTTTTAGTGGCATGTTTGTTTGTATGGATGTGTGTATAGTTTTAAATTAAATTACATACAAGGGTCAGTTATTGAATAGTTGTGATTAATATATAAATATCACACAACAGATTGAGATTATTTCTTGCAAGATCCGTTCACACGGTGCACACTAGGGTAGTCTTGCAGAGTTTTTCCAATGTGGTTTTGCTGCAAATGCAAATAAATGAATCTGAATCTTTTTTGCTCTTTTAGCTGTTTCCTGTGGTCCTGCTCCAATCCCAGAGTTTGGCATGATCATTTATGATAAGATTATTAGGGGCAATAACATTTATTATGGTACCTCTGGAACTTACAAGTGTCTAGCTCCATTGGCACTATTTGGTGAAGAGAGAGCTGAATGTAGAGCCAATGGGCAATGGACTGAGACACCTCAATGTCAAGGTATGGACAACCGCTGATGGTAATACAGTATCTGTAGACTCATAAAGGACTATTCTTTTAGAGGTCAGCTGCTCTCCACCTGAGAACATAGAAAATGGCGTCATGTCGATCCCCCAGAAGAGAGACTTCGAATACACTGAAACTATCAAATATGGCTGTAATGGTGACTATGTACTCCATGGGCCACTACAGATTGTTTGTGAGAAGACTGGACAGTGGTCGGAAAAGCCATCATGCAAAGGTGAGAGACCCTTAACATCTAACTAATAATATAAACATTAAGTAAATACATTTGGACAGCTCCGTGCAGCGTTGGTATTCAGTTTGGAAGAATCATGTACAAAGGGAAAACACTTTGGATGGAAGATTTCAAACCCAACATAGTGCTACACGGAGAAACTGTTTCTGTTTACTGCCTGGACAAAGACAGAAATTGTGAATATGCATTTCCAACCAATTGTTTTGATGGTTTACTGAGCGTTCCTGAATGCTTTGAAGGTAATGCAAACATGGTTTTAAACTTTAGGTGCTTGTTTGTTTGATTTTGTTTAATCTTTCAACTGTGTTTTTTTCCTACAGAGCCAAGTAGATCACAGGTTTCCAGTTCAAATCCAACTGAAATGTCCCAGTGTTAAAAAGAATGGTGGATGAAAATATAATTGAATTTGTGTGTAATGTCATGTAATGTCGAATGTGTATGTAAATGTAACTAGTTCATCCATGTGCAGCCTGGGCGTATTACCCAAGAGTCCATGAGAGGGTTGTTAATCAAAAGCTCACTCAATTCCTCCCAATTAACAGCTCATCTGATATGTTCCAACCTGAACATATCAGATGAGCTGTTAATTGATAGATCAAGGTCACAAATGGTGGACACTGTCAGGGAGATCGAATGCTGCTTTTGACACAGCCGATCATGACATCCTCATGCACATGGACTAAAAGACTGGGTGGGTGTTGCTGGCCCGGCCGATCATAGATTTCTTTAACTGTAGAAGATATTAAGTGATTTGTTGGGATTGGAAACAGTCCTGCCCTTTGGAATGCCTCAGGGGTCATTCCTGGGCCCCCTTTTGTTCATTCTCAACTAATGAATTTAAGAACTAATTGCATTATTTTTCTTTAACATACAGTGATTTACGTTTGTACATGCTTATGTTTTTAATGTTTCCTTATATAGGTAATTTGAGTTGCTCTGTGTATGACTTATCCTATACAAATAAAATTATCTTGTATCATTTTCTTGTTTCTGTGGTGGTTAGTTTATTGTCAAAATGCATCTTTAATAAAAAAAAAAAAACAATACATCCATGGTTTAAGCCATGGGTTTAAGCCTACCTCTGAAGATACTGGACTGTAACGCTAGATGGCGGTCTTTTCCCTCCGTATTTCTGGGTTGCCAAGTACGATTTTATTTTTAAAGAATCATACAACTTCGCAGATGGTGAAATTTTCCTTGTTAAGTATTTTTTCTCACAATAACAGAATGACAGCTGAACCCCGTGGTACTTAGTTGGTTGGATCAAACAATGTTAACGTTTTTAATACCTCTTATTTGGTCCTTACAATATGCGCATCTTCATAGTATTCGTTCGATGGCAACACTCAACATGTCTTGCATTTTTTCTATTTAATATTGCCTACCTTCTTTCGCGCTTTGCCTTATTTTGTGAGGTCCAGTGCCATTTTGCGCTCTGATAATCTGGCAACCCTCCTGTAATATCCCTCTTCTCGTCCAGCATGGCAGCGTTGTATGGCGCATACACGTTGTGCGGTATCGTCCCTTCTCAAAACCTCACATCTGCAGGTTTACATGGCATCAAATCAGAGAGAGATCAGGACCACGTACTGGTCACAGACTCCACCAGATCTGTCACTTTGTACAAGGTAAATTTCACTTTTGAAAGTCCATGTGGCTAATGATCCTGGCTACATGACTCGTGTTAGCATACATTAGCTTCTCGCTTCAGAGACAGATCGACGCTAACTCCTCTGACAGTGACTTTCACTTTATTCAGTGAATACTTTCTAAGTATGTAGGGTTACATGTATGGTTGGTGTATGATCAAAACGTAGTCCTAGCGGTGAGTGCTTAAGTTTGATGCGTTGTTGGATCCATATGCAGTAGTTGGATCACACATGTTCTTCGTTCTTAATCTTATTTTTATTTTTTCGTCCAGGTGTCTGATCAGAAGCCCCTCTGCAGTTGGACTGTAAAACAGGGACAACGTTTGACCTGTCCGGTAACTTACAACTCTATTACAAAAGAATATGTCGCTGTTTCTGACCACAAGGTTAGCTCAACGCTCATAACTCTGGTTATCAAGCTTTATGGCTTCTTTAAAATGTCACTTTTGTGTTCCGCAGGTCATTCGAATATGGAAAGAAGACGAGATAACTCTAGAGAAAGCCTTCAAAGCAACAGTAAGATTTCATCTATATATCTGTCTCTCGAGCACGAGTAGTGTAACTAATAGTGCTGTGTTCATTACAGGTGTCTTCAGATGTGTGGCAGGTCCACAGTGCACCGGGAGCAGACCCTGTAGTTTTATTTCGAAGAGGAGCCGTAAGACTTCTGGATTCTATATTGGCTGCACCACAACAAACTGTGGAGGATGTTTTGGCTCAGGATGAAATCCTAAGGTAAGTTACATGTGTTTGTAAGTTTGCTTTGCAAGTCATCTGGGCCAAGGTTCCCTCTCTTTACATCTGCATAGTGCTGTTAGAGGAATGAAAAACTTTGGGACATTAACTACTGCTCTCCACTGTGACAGTGCACAAAATCACTGTTTACAATCTAAAAGCAGTATACACTGTCATTCAGTTGATGTTTAGTAATTAGTGATTGATGTATAAATCAATCGGTGTATTTACTGTAAACTTTTTTTGTAGGTGGAGCACTAACCTGATTGCAGACTCTCAGCATTTTGTCATTTTCACAACAGAACAGGTAATTGTTTTGTTTAAATTCATGTATTTTCTGTACCTTTTTTGTTTTTAATCGTTGGTTGTTTTTTTTAATAACTTTTTATTTTACAATCAGAAAGGTGACCACTTCTTGTACCTGCAGCGGTTGAACCCAAACAGTCTTCAGAAATACAGCCTTGAAAGGGAGGAGCCTGAGCTCTCTCCTTTGAGCTTCTGTGTTGCTCTCAGGAACAAGCATATCTTCTTGGTTTACCTCTGTAAGGTTGCATTCATGTGTGTGTGCGCTAGTTCATTCGTTATTCCTCTTTTAACCCTTTTTAAACTCAAATTGCTAGATCCTAATGGTCATGTGTACCAGAGTATGGTGCTGGTGCGAGGTGTTGGTGCTGATGATGGAACTGTGGCTCATACCTTGCCCCGTAGTCTGGTCCTGAGCCTCTCTGTGGGTGATGGACTTCTGGACTCTGCGTCTGCCCTAATCCTGGATGAAGCGCACGTTGCTGTTGTAGGTGTCCCACACCCCTCGGCTGGAGCTAGCAAAGGTGGGTAAATTTTCAAAATTGTTTGTTGATTTAAATCTGACTTTTTCATTATTCTGCAGACTTTCTTTGTATCTGGAACATACACTTTCAAACTCTTCAGGCTGGTAAAGAGATGGCTGGTACAATCTATGGCCAGGTATGTCTGTAACATATTTACCAATGTTAGTTCTTTTGGGTGTAACAATTCATGAATCTTTTGGTTTGATGCACATTGCAGGACCCACTTTCTCAATGCATTACTGTGGCTAAATCTTTAATTTAGTTGACAATATAAATGTATTGTCTTTATATTGTATCTTATATTTAATTCAATATTACAAAATGCACAATTAAATAAGGCATTTCAAAGACTCTTTTATTACTCCATAAGGTACTTTGTTTTCTCTGGGTCAGCCCATATCCTGTTTTGAGGATTCACGTGGAAACTCTACGCGTTCAGTTGTAGTGTTTAGAAATGTATTGGCCTCAAGTCCAAGGTTCCCTCTCCTCTCAACTCTCAATGCTGACAGAGGACTGTATAACTTTGGTAGATCACAGACTGCTCTCCACCGTGAAAGGGCTGTCAGTCCCTCCTCACAACTTAATAGCAGTGTACACCCGCATATAGTTAAACCATTTTAAAGAGTGCTAATAGTTTCTCTTCCTTCTATTTGATTTTTGTAGCTTTGGAGTTTCTCAAATAAGTTGTTCATTCCTCATGGTAAATCGCTCTCTGTGATTCGTTATGAGTGTCCAAAGTCTTGCCTGGCCTCTGCTCTGGGAAAAATGAGGCAGGCAAAATCTGAAGGTAAACAAACTACCTGGATCTATTTGCCCATTTGTCAAGTTATGTTTGCAATATTTATTTTCACTTTTTTTCAGACTGCAAAGGCCCTTCTTCTGTGCCTTCATGGAGTAGTTTATTGCATGGAGAGAAGGTTCCACAATCCAGAAAAGACAGCAGAAAAATGGTACTTTTATTTTTCTTTTACATTTTGATAAAGATGCGCAAAGCTTTATTCATGTTCATTTCTAGCCTGAAGGATAAGTCCAAGGTTCCCTCTCCTCTCAGCTGCTGAGTGCTGTCAGAGGATTGAAAAACCATTGGAAAAATATTTACTGCTCTCCACTGTGATCGGGCGTTATCCCTTTACACAACTAAATTGCAGTGGACATTATTAAAACCTTTTCTATGTGATGTCATTTGTTTATTCAGAATTTATAATGCATGGGATTATTTTTCAGAGAAGTTTGAAAACTAAATCTGAGCGCTGTCAGTCAATCGAACAGATGTTGGAACTTATTAAGGTATGTTTAACACTTTTACTGTCTTTACTTGAAATCAAAAGTGTAAACATGACACATTACATTTTCAGACTGGTCCAGTGGAGGAGGTGCAGCCTGAAGTGGAGGCTTATGTTGCCAAATTAGACACCCATGACTTGCAGCTCATAGTTGGACAGCTTTCCTCAGCTCTTGTGTGCCGCAGCTCAGTAGATTTGTCCTTCTACACTGGGAGCCTCCTATCACAGCTGGTTCAGTCACGGACTCTATGCCACAGGTCAGTAGGTGTAATGAGTTGTCATAGCCCAAGGGTTTTACTATTAAAATGATATTGCATTTGAGGATTTTTAAATGTTTCCAAAAGAAATTCAATTTGTGAGTTAAGAATTCAGTTATTTATCTTAAATATTATAGTTTGTATGACTATGGCAAAAGTTATTATAAATTTAAATCATAATTCCAGGCACTGGCTAAACGTTGACGATGTAGAGAAGGATAGATGTATTGCAGGTTTTAAAAACAAAAAAGCTTGTATTTGCAGAAACATTAGCTGCTAGATGCCCACCATATTAAAATGGCTTGACCAAACCGAGAGCCACAATGTTTGACACTAAACAAACTCAATTCATCCTTTTTTCTTTTTTTGTAGCCTCTGCCCGGACCTCGTTCTTTTGACCCTTGAGAAAAGGGACTACTTTTTGTGTCAAATCTGCTTGCAATTCTTTCCTGATATCCCTGAAGCTATTACCTGCACATGTCTGAAGGCTTTTATCAGGTAAATGCTCATTCAATGTTTTACTTTCTTAATATTGCTGTTTAATATTGTGAAAACTTACATGATCTTTTTTTGCAGTATGACAGATGGAGACTCGGAGATTGTACAGTTGGAGCCTGCAAGTGTGTCATTCATGCAGACGTTGATTTCAAAAGACAATGCACAGCCTGCCGCACAAAATGGCTGTAGCCCCACTTCTGATAAGACTGAAATCAATGAAGGAGATGGCATGATCACAAAGATCAACAGACCACTCAAGGATATATGTCCCGTCAGCTTGAATAAAGCAGTCCTGTTGTATCCTTCATCTATCAACTAAATATAATGTGCCTTATTTGTGACCTGCTCACTTCTTTTGCTTAACTTATCTGCACAGAAATCAAATATTACAGACTCCATATAGTGAAAATTACCTACTTCCTCACATCAAGGACCTTTCTTCTCACCATGCCATTGTAAATATTGGCAATACATTTGTAGATTTCTCCTATAAAAACATGTTTTGATAATTTATTTGGTTTCTTAGGTCTTCCTCCGATATCTCCAGTTTCTGTATTTGATATATTCCCAGGATGCTTTGCCACAGAGGAAACAACTAAGGGCACCCACATTCAGTCAGGTTTGTGTCTTGCCCAACATGTTTACTCCATAGACTGAAAATTTATGGGCAGTGCTAATCCTTTATGAAGCTTAGCGAGTAGCTTGGCTCTTTGTTTGCTAGGTTGTTGCTACCTAAAAAAATGGCTCCATATTCACTCTTGTAGAACCTGTTCAAGCAAGCTTCTGCTCCTTCTCTTGGTTGACTCCAAGGTTCCCTCTCCTCGCAGCTGCAAAGTGCTTCTAGAGGAATGAAAAACCATTGGTAGAAAATGTACTGCTCTCCACTGTGATGTGGTGGTGTCTGCTTTCACAACCTAATTGCAGTGCACAGGCTTATCTAAGTGACTAAACAAATGAATTTTGCATTGAGAATATTATAACAGTTCTTGATTAAGTTCTAGGAAGTCGGCAGTCGTAAAATGTATTTGGTTTGCAGGTTATGGATTGGGTCTGCTTGGTGTTGGATGCTCATTTTACAGTTTTGGTGATGACTCCAGAGGCCAGAGAATTGCTTCTACACCTGAACACCTTTGTAAAGTCTCAGGTAAATTTCTTTGTAAGATTATGTTCTTGTAAAATATGCAGAATAAATTTAAAATTGTATTTTCTCAGGTGAAGCTGTTTTCAGAGCTTGGAAAGATTGAGAGCAGCCTTGAGGAGATCAATAAAATGAGAGTACAAAAGGACATTGGACAATATTCAATTGAAGTGTTGGAGTTGTATTAAAGTATTGTATGTATGTATGTATGTATATATGTATGTGTGTATATACCCTTTTAATAAATATACAATTTTACATAATGTTTACAACAGGTTGATTAGTCCCAGGTATATGTAAATGTCTAAATACTTTTTGGTTATATTCTCACCTAACAACTTCGTCGCCTGTTGCGACTGGTTTACAAATTAAGTTATCCTTTTCGTCTGAGGGGAAATGTCATCTATTCGGTCAAATCCCGCGAAGCCTGCATCAAATTTAGTGTATGTCGCAATTGCGACTTATGTAGTCTCCCGCATGTCAACTTTAAAATTCAAAACAGAACCGCGTGTGCCCCTCCACAGGAAGAGCATGCAACTCGTTTAGTGAACTAAAAACACGGCCAGGACATTTGCAGCTTAGTAGAAACATGTCACGTGACCACGCAGTGAGCGACAAGTGACCACATTGAAAACGGAACTACTTCCGCTGTATGTATGTACACATGGATACGCAGTCAATAGTGCTCCCACAATACAGGTTTTATTTGACGGGTCATTATATAGTGTTATCTATTGTATCTTCATACCGCTGATGTTTGTATTTGGTCACACGCCTGCAATGTGTGCTTCCATGAAGTTTTGCCCTGAATGTGTCCGTTTCCGGTGCATCGTGCTCACACACGGCGGCTTGACGCAGGTCTGGGGCCTGCTGTGTGGAGCGGAGAGAGCCTGGACAAAAATGGCGTCTGCTGGAGACCCAGAGCGGGACACCGGGCTTCCAGTATAAGCTCTTCACCTGGACAAAAGGTCCCACCGTACGCAGGCCTCTCGCGTGTTTACACCCCTTCACTCTGTTGTGTGGCCCCTAACAGCACCGACATTGAGGCGGAACAGAGCGGGCTCTCTCCCGCCGTGAGGGAGCGGAGAGCTAGGCCCGGGCCGCCCAGAGCAGGAGCCGAGATGCGAGAGGGGTCCCCCGGGCCCCGGAGCAGCAGAGGCCGCAGCAGAGGCATGAGAGCCCGGGGTAGGGGCAGAGGAAGAGGCAGAGGAAAAGTCTCCATTGGTGGAGGCTCGGAACTGGACACGCATGAGTCCGGGAGAGACAACTTTACCTCGTCCCGCGGCCGCAGGAAAGTTGTCAGCGCAGCGGCTGCATCCAGGAGCAGGGGCAGAGGCAGAGGCTCCAGGGGCGGCCGCGGGTCCAGAGGAGGTGTCAGAAGACCCCAGACCAAGGTGGTCTACGACGATAACAGCGAGGATGAGGAAGATCACTTCAGCTACAGATCGGACGAAGACGAGCTCTTAAACGACAACCCGTCCTCGGATCTGGAAGAAGAGGAGGCCCTGGGAAACGAATCGGACTATCTGGAGGAGCTACCAGAGGAGGATGATGCCAGCTACTGCACAGAGAGCAGCTTCAAGAGCCACAGCACACACGGGAGCACCCCGGGTACGTCTGTCTTGCCAATAACATGGACGTGTGCAGATTATTTTGTGGCCTGAATTAAAAGCAAGCCGCATTGTTCAAAATGGAGCTTGCACTCAGAAATAGGCCTTTGTTTACTGTGTGCTCCCCGTGCTGCTGACTGCTCATCTGCTGCACGCTACTACATGCTCTTATGTTTTGGTCTTTGATCAATCCATTCATACTCATACAAATTCACATTTTACAAGTCACGTATGTTTTGATGCTTGCATATGTGAACTTAGGTGTGGAGAAGTAAATGACAGAAGCCAAGGGCTATGTTTGCTTCTTTGCCGTACTTCCATTCATTCATTTGAAGTTTTGTTTTGGTTTCTGCTTATGCTGTTGCGCCTTGACCCTGGTGGCTGAATGAACCTGTTTCAAGGCACATTTCCTTAATTATTTTAGTGAAATTATGCATTTTCATTTTTTTTAATTAAACCCATTCACATTGTTTTTTTGGATTATGCAATTCGTAATGCTAATTACGTGTTTGCTTTATTGTTTCAAGTTATGTCTTTGATCATCAATATTTTGATTTTTTTTTTAATACGTACTTGGTTTTACATGTTTCGTTGTTTGTAACTAATCAACAATACATAAATTAATAGTGGAGAAATTACAACAGTAGTGGTATTTTCTAATTTTGTAAATTTAAATTTTTCTTTAAATTTTTGCAGGCCGCAGAAGAAGTAGGCCAGTGCGACCAAGCTCTCCAATATTTGAAGCAAAGGATGTTCCACCATTGGATCTTCCCAAGTCATCTGAAGACCTTCTGGTGTCTTCATGTCACCTGCTTGACATCATTGGGGTTTATGAGGTTTTGCGTAACTTTGGCTCTGTGTTGCGCCTCTCCCCATTCCGTCTGGAGGACTTCTGTGCAGCGCTGGCCAGCCAGGAGCAGTGCACGCTGCTGGCAGAGACCCACATCTCACTGCTCAAGGCTATTCTACGGGAAGAGGACACATCCAACACCACATTTGGTCCCGCTGACGTGAAGGACTCTGTTAACTCCACTTTGTATTTTGTGGATGGCATGACTTGGCCTGAGGTTGTCCGCTCCTACTGTGACAGTGACCCTGAGTACAGACACATTCTGCCTTTTTTAGACAATGAGGAATATCCGTATGACCCAATGGAGAGTAAAATTAAAGTCCTTCAGTTTTTAGTGGACCAGTTTTTGGCAACCAACATTGCTCGAGAGGAGCTCATGTCAGAAGGTGTCGTAGCATATGATGATCATTGCAGAGTGTGCCATCGCCTGGGAGACCTGCTTTGCTGTGAGACGTGTTCTGCTGTGTATCACCTTGAGTGTGTAAAGCCCCCGCTACAAGAGGTACCAGAAGACGAGTGGCAGTGCGAGGTCTGTGTCGCCCATAAAGTGTCCGGTGTGGCAGACTGCATCCCTGAGGTGCAAAAGACCAAACCTTTCATCCGACAACTGCCAATTGGTTTTGATCGGCATCATCGCAAATATTGGTTCTTAGATCGCAGAGTTGTTGTGTAAGTTCAAATACATCCTTATATGTCCTTTATTCTTATTATTTTTGGTAAAATATATTGAAACTCAAATACCCTTTGAAACCCTGGTAGTCATTGAATATTGTACAATTAAATTACTCTTCCATGGAATATCTCGGTACCAACATTACTGCTCTAGAGACTTCATATTGGCTAATTAATAATCTGTGCACTGTGCAATACACACACTTTTTACATTGTGTTTCCAGGGAGGAGGATGGTGAACAAGACAAAAACATTTGGTACTACAGCTCCAAGGTAATGTCAGACTCTCCCAAGTATTTAACATTCAATAATCTGTTCTTAAGTCCACAAATAACAACCATGCTTAGTGTGATACTTGATTTAAAAATTATCTTCTTTCCCAGGTCCAGCTCGCTGAACTCATTGAGTGCCTAGACAAGGATTACTGGGAGGCAGACTTGTATGCTGCAATTGAGGAGATTCGAGATGAAGTTCACACACACATGGACATCACAGAAGACTTGACAAACAAAGCTCGTGGCAGCAACAAGTGCTACCTCACCGTTGCAAATGGTAAGTGCAACTGTTGTTTGTTTGTACGTGTTCAGCAGACGGTTGTGAATATTCTTTAAATACAGTAGATGGACAAACACATTGAAAACACAGCTATTTACATGCAGCTGCTGATTCCGAAAATAAATAAATGTGCTCGTCAAGTGAGACAGGAGGAGAGCAAAGACATCTTGGCTTCATGGGGTTACTAAATGCTCAAGTAATGCATGGATTATTCTACAGCTGTGTAAAAGACTACGGAAAACAAATAACTTCGTCAAAAGCTGTGAAAAGTTGTCACAGTCGTTTTTTGATCCATTGTTGCTTTTCTCAGAGGAGATTATGGAGAAGCTGCGGGTAAAGAAAGAGGAGGAGCTGGAGGAGGTGAAGAGGCGAGCGGCTGACGAGGCATTGAGAGCACGGATGGAGCAGGGAGACATGAAGGTGGAGAGGGACGACCCAGAGCATGATGAGGGTGCAGTGGAGGGAGAGGAGAAAAGCCTGACCCCCGAGGAGCTGGGGACCAGAGACCACATCAAACCAGAGCCTGAGGACAGCGTGAAAACCGAAGGTAGGAATGGGTCATTATTAAAAGGCTGCCCCCCTATTTATTGAGCTGAGGCTGACTGGTCTGCCAAAATATAATGCACCTATCAAAATGTTTGTTTGCATACATAACTTTTTAAAATGGAACTTTTATTTATTCTTCTGTGTGTGCATGGCCACTTGTTCATCAGCAGAGGGCACCATAACATTGCTTAAGAAAACTTCTGATTTCAACTTTGTGGATTATTCTGTTTGACTACGAAATGATTACACCGTGTTTTTTTTCCTCCAGAAACCCAGATGCCCCTCTTTTCCATTCCTGCGGGAGAGGATATCCCCAGCCTCAGCCAGCCCTCACACCCTGGAGAGGACGACAGCAACAGTCCAGAAGTCCCACCCAGGGGCCCAGAACCTCCAGATCTGGCGGACAAGTCTTCTCAGTCATCTTTAGCCAGCTTTGATGAAGCAGGTATGCAATACTGCAATATTCCATTCCATTAGGACTGCACGATATATCAAAAAAATATTGTAATCGCATTATTGGTGCGTGTGATATCTACATCAAAATATAATAGTATTTTTTCTTTTTTTTCTTTATTAATGACCACAAAACACGTCAACATTCAACAAAAACAACAAACAAACAAAAATATATAAATATATGCATTGGAATGTCATTAATGTTGTGCTTATTGTTTCATTCATTCTTGCCTCTGTTTACATACCGCCATGCGCGGACGCGCGCGAGGCTCAGCGCGCACTCGCAGAGCAAGTACTGTGTATGGAACGCTTATACCCGGACTCTCTGATTATTATCCTGGGGGATTTTAATAAGGGAAACTTGAGCCAGGAATTACCCAAATACAGACAGTTTATCAAATGCCCGACCAGAGAGGAGAACACTCTGGATCACTGTTACACCACCGTGCGCGGAGCTTTTCGCGCTGTTCCCAAGCCAGCCCTCGGCTTCTCAGATCACTCCATGATACATCTGGTTCCTGCTTACAGACAGAGACTAAAGCTCTCGAAACCTGCAGTGAGGAGCTCCAAAGTGTGGTCTGATGAAGCTGTGGAAGAGCTGCGCGCATGCATGGAATCTACAGACTGGGACCTTTTCAGAGCTGCCACAGACAGCTTGGATGAATATACGGACACTGTGACGTCATACATCCACTTCTGTGAGGATAGCATCATTCCAACAAGGACCAGGGTCATCTATAACAACGACAAACCCTGGTTCACTGCTAAACTCCGGCAGCTCAGGAAAGCAAAGGAGTCTGCTTTCAGGGAGGGGGACCGCAGCGGCTACAAAGCAGCTAAATATCAGTTCAGGAAAGAACTGAAAGCAGCCAAGTCCCGGCACAGAGAACGACTACAGGAGCAGTTTGGTAACAACGATACTGCTTCTGTCTGGAGGGGCCTACGGGAGATCACCAACTACAAACCCAAAGCCCCCCCCTGTGCTGATGACCACAAGCTAGCTGACGATCTGAACTTATTTTTCAGTCGCTTTGATGCTGCCCCTGACACCTCTCCCTCCCCCACCCCCCACTACTCTAACGACCCACCCATCAGCCCTGCCCCCAGCCTAACAATAGCCGCTAAAGAGATTAAACAACTCTTCCTGAGGCTGCACCCCCGCAAAGCTCCTGGCCCGGACCACGTGTCTCCGGCCACTCTGAGACACTGCGCCAGTGAGCTTACTCCTGTGTTCACGGACATTTTCAACTCCTCTCTGCAGTCCTGCCATGTCCCGGCCTGCTTCAAATCCTCCATCATTGTCCCCGTCCCGAAGAAGCCCAGGATCACAGGACTCAATGACTACAGACCTGTAGCACTTACGTCTGTCGTCATGAAGTCATTTGAACGCCTGGTTCTCTCCCATCTCAAGTCCCTCACCTCCCCCCTCCTGGAGCCCCTGCAGTTCGCCTACAGAGCCAACAGATCTGTAGACGACGCCATTAACCTGGCCCTCCACCACATCCTACAGCACCTGGACTCCCCGGGGACCTACGCCAGGGTCCTGTTCGTGGACTTCAGCTCTGCCTTCAACACAATCCTGCCATCCCTGCTCCAGGACAAGCTCTCCCAGCTCAACGTGCCCGATTCCACCTGCAGGTGGATCACTGACTTCCTGACGGACAGGAAGCAGCGAGTGCGTCTGGGGAAGAATGTCTCGGACTCTCGGATTATAAATACAGGAGCCCCACAGGGCTGTGTTCTTTCTCCCCTGCTCTTCTCCCTGTACACCAACCACTGCACCTCCAGCCACGACTCCGTGAAGCTGATCAAGTTCGCGGACGACACCACCCTCATTGGACTCATCTCCAACAACGATGAGTCCGCCTACAGGAGGGAGGTGGACCGGCTGGTGTCCTGGTGCAGTGGTAACAACCTGGAGCTGAACGCCCAGAAGACAGTGGAGATGATTGTGGACTTCAGGAAGAGCACTGTCCCCCCACCCCCACCCTCCGTGATGGACTCCCCCATCACCTCTGTGGAGTCCTTCCGTTTCCTGGGCACCACCATCACCCAGGACCTCAAGTGGGAGCCGACCATCAGCTCCCTCATCAAGAAGGCCCAGCAGAGGATGTACTTCCTGCGGCAGCTCAGGAAAGCCAAGCTGCCTGCACAGATGTTGGTGCAGTTCTACACGGCCATCATCGAGTCCATCCTCACCTCCTCCATCACCGTGTGGTTCGCTGGAGCCACAGTCAGGGACAAACAGAGACTACAGCGCATTTGTGCGCTCTGCAGAGGAAGTGATCGGCCGCAGCCTTCCATCGCTGCAGGACCTGTACGTCGCCCGAGCTCGAGGCCGGGCTGGTCGTATCACAGCCGACCCCTCTCACCCTGCACATGGACTATTCCAACCACTCCCCTCAGGCAGGAGGCTGCGGTCCATCAGGACTAGAACCTCCCGCCACAAGAACAGTTTCTTCCCCTCTGCTGTTGGACTCTTGAACACTTCTTAACCTGTCCCCCCGCCCTTTATAAAGTCACTTTACTGCCCATCATACGTCACTTTACTTCACTGTACTGCTGTCACCTTACATTGTGTGCACCATGTGCACTTGTATATTGTAAATAGTAACTGTAACTCTATTTTAAATTTAAATTTATTCTTTAGAAGTGTTTTTTATTCTTATTTTTATTATCTCTTTTCGACTGTTGCACTGAGCCAAAGCAATTTCCAAGTCTGTGACCTCCCGTTACTTACGTTGGCAATAAAAATGATTCTGATTCTGATTCTGATTCTGATTATTTTTAGTTTTTTGTCTCTTGCGTTTCACTGCAGATTGCAATTTTAGGTGAAAGACAAAAATATTGCAATAATATCGTTATCGAAATACTCATATTCACATCGAATATCGCTCTAATTTCCAATATTGTGCAGCCCTAATTCCAATATCACCCATTTAAATGTATTATAACCTTAAATGAGAGATTCTTGTCAATTTACATTTATTGTAGAATGACTGTTAACTATTTGATATTCTAGTTTATTTTTCTTAAATGTAACTTAGTATAACCTAAATGATTAGATAAGATACATTTACAAGGATGATAATCCTAGTTTAATGTCCAGGATTCTCTTTTTTGACCTTTCCACGGGTAATACTAATGTTTGTCTGGTACAAATTTAACTGAAACATTCGATGTATATTTCTGTACTTTCCTGGAGGCCGTACATGAAGGCCAACCCACCTTTCACATGTACACAAATACTCAAATACACACTCTCACACTTACTACAGGCATACACACACTCACAGAAGGATGCATGTGAGTATAGACCTGTGTAAATGATTTCTAGCATACGCACACCCAACTTCACTTATAGCTAACGATATCATGTCTAAATTGGTTGTCACCCAAAATTATAATCTTATGAACTGATTTGTGTTAAAGGTGATAGTCCCACATACACAGCATTTTAATGCTTATGCCTAGTCCTTTTTGAGCCCCATGTGGTGTAATCTACATGGTGTTACCAGTTTGTATATGATACTCACAATCAAAATAAATCATTCTTCATGATTTTTCTGTTAAAAAGTTAATGTATATTTTTTTTAGGGGAAAATAAAGGAGATGGAACGCCTTCAGGAAGTAAGAAGTCTTCAGCCACTCGTATGGTGACCCGACTTAGGAATCCAGACAGCAAACTGAGTCAGCTAAAAAGTCAACAGGTAGCTGCTGCTGTTCATGACTTAAAACAAGGGTTTTAAGGAGGGCAAAGAGGCAATGCCGCACTCTGTAGCCAGAGAAAAAAATAAAAAAATATTTATGGTTTAATTCTGTCACAAGGGGCAGTTCTTTACTAAATAGGAATCTGTTTGGTTGTTTGTTTTAAACGAGAAGATAATGTAATGTTCTTTTATGATATTATTCCCAGGTACTTGTTGTGAATGCACAAGGCGACATCACCCGGATTAGCACACGAAGTAGCAAAGACGTGGGGATGAAAGGGACCCTAAGTCAATATTTCAAGCTTGGTCAAGAGGGCAAATATCGGGTCTATCATAACCAGTACAGCTCTAATGGACTCTCACTAAACAAGCACCAGCACAGAGAGGTAAAAACGTCATTGTGAGCATATTGATGCAGTTTTTGGGGTATTACTTTTTCTTTTCTTCTAGGACCATGACAAGAGGCGACATCTATCACACAAATTTTGCATGACAGCAGCAGGGGAATTTAAATGGAATGGGTCCATCCATGGCATCAAGTGTCTCACAATTTCCACTCTGAGACTCACAATTATCCAACTGGAAAACAATGTCCCATCTCCATTCATGCATCCCAACTGGGCTTCACATAGGTACATAATACTGTAAATAAATGATTACTTTTGACATGAAATTACTGCTAACTAATATTTTTTTATATTTTGCCAGAACCAACTGGATCAAAGCAGTTATGATGTGCAGCAAGGCTCGAGAGTTTGCACTTGCGTTGGCGATTCTGGAGTGTGCCATTAAACCTGTGGCTTTGCTGCCGATCTGGAAGGACTCATTGGGACACACTAGGTATGCACTAAAACTCAAGACTTCCTTTATCAAGCCTACACTCTGTGCATAACAGAATATTGCTCTGTTCTTAAATCTGTTGCCACCGAGTATTCCACTTCAAAGTTCAAGTGAATAACATGCAATCGCCCAACGTCTCTGAAGTCCAAAAGCTCAGAATGTGGGGTCCAAGGCAGAACATTTTTTTACTAAATGCATATACTCTTACAAACCCACAATACAGCAACACAACCATGTAGTTTTTGCTAAATGTATTATTTTTATCAGGTTTGTGGCAGAAATTATACACATGCTGTGTTCTATGTATATAATGTATGTATTTGTTTCATATTAAACCCTCAGTTTAAAACCTGGATTGATTAATTTCATAAATGAGGCCCACACTCAATTATTTTTTTTTTCTTTTTAAATTCAATCCATATTTCTGTGGTTTGTTCAGCAATAACATACTAGTTATCACATCCAGATCAGATCAAAAAGCCCACCCGAGCTGTGAGCAATAATATTTAGACTTCAGGTTCTCTACCACCCACCTTTCCTGCTGCAACAGGACCTTAAAGACTGGATTGTTCAGATTTTCTTTACTTAATGTGTGTAAATAAACTCTGAGGGCTCAAATAAGCGGCCAACCCTGGTTCTGGGGTTGATTTCAACATACACCTAAGTGTAGTTGAATATATTTATGTGATTTCACGTGTGTTAATATTCTCTGTGAACATTCCAGGTATTTACATTAAGTACAATCCCTTTTCAGGTTGAATCGCATGACATCCATGGAACGAGAGGAGAAAGAAAAAGTGAAGAAAAGGGAAAAGAAACTGGAAGATGAAGAAACACTGCAACAGGCTACTTGGGTCAAATATACTTTCCCAATCAAGCATCAGGTCAGTTCATGGTATTGTGTAGTTGGGGCAGTTTAGACTAAAGCATAGTGCATAACTTGATCTGTGTGTGTGTCTTGAAGGTGTGGAAACAGAAGGGAGAGGAGTATCGAGTTACTGGTTATGGAGGATGGAGTTGGATCAGTCGGACATATGTGCATCGTTTTGTTACCAAACTCCCTGGAAATACAAATCCCAACTATAGAAAAGAGCTGGAAGGTAATTCATATAACACGTTAATAACGGCGTTAATTACTGTAATGTATTAGTTGTTGCTGTAACGCAGTAATGTAAGGCATTACAAATCAAAAACTGGGTAATATTCACCGGTACAGCATTTTAACTCCGCCTCCGCTCAGCGGTTGGTGTTTGCGAAAGAGCAGAGACATGCAGCCTATGGATCGATAAGAGTCTAAGCTCTATTTTGTACTGTAAAGTGTCCAAAAAGAGTCAATATTAACAGAGATATGAGCCTCTCAAGAGTCCTGTGGGGGTTAGGGTTAGGGTTAGGGTCTCTGTTGAGACAGAGGCAGACACCAGGACTGAGCTAGGACTGAGCCAGAAACAGTAATAGTGACAATAAAATAAGAGTAAATAACAACGCCTTTGATTATTAGACTGAAATTGTGTTTAACATATTTGGAGAAAGTAACTTATGCAGTAGTAGTGTAATGCATTACAATTCAGAGAGAGTAATATTGAAGTGTTTTACAGTATTTTGAAATAACAGTAATAAGTAATACATAATGTATTACGTTTTTATAAGTATCTTGCCCAACACTGATTATGACTGATAAATGCTTCAATGGCGGACAAGCGTCAGGATTTCCCTTTCAAAAGACTTGTACTGTGTCATGGATTGTGTTGTATTCACCCCAGTGGCACTGCTGAAGTTTGCCAAAATGATACTTTTGTCTCAAGAGTCTCAATCAAATGCATTACGGGGATGTTGGAGAAACAAAAGCAGTCTCACTCACTGGTGATTACTGGATGTCCTCCAGGAATCTCGAGTCCAAACGTTGAAGCTATACATACTTTCCACTGCGCGTGATGGTCAAATACGCTGTAAAAACCATGTAACTAACTAGAATGAAAACATAAACAAAAGAGACGCCTTTATTAGACACTTCAAGTTAGATAGTTCTATACAATGTAAAAAGCGATAAAAGATTGAGTAGCCTATATTAGACAATGCAAATACTTTCTTTTTGGAGGGGATTGGATTTATATAACCTTTTTTCTTTGTCCAATTCCTTTTAAAACCAAATCAAATGTTTGGGATGGGAGGGTAAAACATTCTAGAATAGACTTCTGTCTGGGGATACACCATGTTTAGGTGAAAATACTGCATACAATTCTGGATTTCTTTGTGTATGGTCTTTTTTAGATGTAAATGTTTTTGATAACATCAGCTTTTGTTGTTTTCTGAAGATGCCAAAATGGGAAAGAAGTGTACATTACTTGATTTGAGTCGTCGAGTAAGTATAACGGCAGTTGAAGACCAGGAAATTGTACCTGGATTAGTCGATCCAACCAAAAGCTCAGAGTCAAAAGCTAAAATTGAAGACGGATTATGCGAAGTGAAAGGTGAAGAAGAAAATTCTGAGAGGATTTTATCAGATGAAGCTTCAACAAAAATGGATTTGGAAACTCCCGGTCCCTTTTTGAATAGATGTCAAGGTAAGGCTGACAGTAGAATTTTAAGCTGTTATTATTATTAGACTATTGTATATAAACTATTATTTTAAACGGCTGTACACATGCATGCGATTCATTTAAAGATTAACTAACTTACTTAGGGTAAACTTATTTTTTCTTCCTTAGACTTTGGTGACCTGAAGGACCCACTCTCTGTGAAGGAGGAGCCTGTGGATTCTTTGGAGAAACCCTTCAATTATGATGTAGTGGATGTAAGCAAAGGATTTCTGACACGAGTCGCCTACAAGAAGATTGTGAAGGCCTCTAAACTAGACTCTCTGCTGGAGCGCCGGGTGAAGCAGCATAGTTTTGAAGAGCAACAAAGAAGTCCAGACTCTGGATCTAAACCGCAGACTCCTGCCAAGCTTTCCTCAACTCCAGCAACTTCTGTGGGCACCCCAATCCGACCGCGCTCTCCACTTAAACCTAATGCAATAGCACAAACCTTTTCACTAGGAACTGATTTGGAGGAGCAAAAACCCACCATTCAAAACATGGATGTACTAAAGGTACATCAGGCGGCTGAGACTGTGAGCTCAGAGGCTGTTCTAAACTCCACAGCTGCAGGTGCATGTGGCATCGATGGGAAGCTGTCAAATCAAAGTGTTGCCGATTCACATTTTGTAGCAAGGACTAAGGACTCAAAACAAACAAATGTACTTATTTCATCACAACAAACTAAGGCACTTGAAGTACAAGATTGTAACTATACAGCTGATGGTGTGAAACATGGCTCAGTTAGCAGTTTAAGGTCTCTTGCCCAAAATTGCATTGAGAAATCATCAGCCCCCAAGCAATTTTGCTCAGGGGAGCCTTTACAAAAGGACTGCCCTAAAGACATTTGCTCTCCAGTCGATTCTCCGCTGCCTCAGATTAATGGTAACACTGTTTTAAGTGGTGAAAGCAATTCAAAATTGCGTTCAAATAATGGTATGTACAGCCTGCAGCCTAAAGGGAAGAGCATAGGAAATTATGATGAAGAAAATAGAATTGTTGATTTGTTAAAGGACAGTATACAATCTAACCACTTGTTAAATGGAGATTTAGTTGGTAACTCTAAGGCACAGGTGGAAAATAAAATCATTTTTGACTCTGACTACAGTCCACCAGTTAAAATCACTAGACTGGAAAGCAGCACGGATGCAATTGACAATAATGATAAGGGAACTATTGAAAACATTAGCGCCCAATCAGTAAAAATCATTCGCATGCCACCATCTCCTTTAGCATCAGCGGAGGAGTCCAGTCTCAGTGACGACTTTACAGAAGACTATAGTAACAGTGAACCCGCAGAACCACTGAAGGCTTCGCTCACACAGATTACCACAACTTCTACTACTACCACCACAACAGTTGTCTCTTCCACTACCTTTGTCCCCGGATCAAATCTAAACCAAATCACTTCTACAAACAGCAGCACTCTTACAACAATGAACAAGTCGACAGTAACTAAAACGGTCAAGGCTGGTGAAGAGTCAGAGGTGGTCACTAAAGAACTTGCATCAGTGTCTGCTTATTTGTCTTCATCAAAAACGGATTCTACAGGTAAAGCGTTGGAGTTGTCTGTGAACATGAGCCAAGAAGATTGGTCAACAACAAAAGGTCGAGTCAGACTTCTCAAATTTTCCCACACCAAAAAGACTCGCTCTGATACTGCCCTGCCTTCTTACCGCAAGTTTGTCACCAAAAGCAGCCACAAGAGTATTTTTGTGTTGCCATTTGATGATTTGAAAGTGCTGGCGAGACGGGGAGGCTTTCGTGAGGTGCAACTCTTCAACTACAATTCCAAACCAGCACCAGATATTTGGCCATACCCTACACCCAGGCCCACATTTGGCATCACTTGGAGGTAAGGATTCCAGTTCTCCACCAAACCCTAAAGTTATGATGACAATTGTGTCAAATATAATTGTTTTTTTTATAATATATACTTGTTTTATTTCATTCATGTGACAGTAGGACTTGTGTCATTGTCATTTCTACATAAGGGCTGTTACAGTATCCACATGTCTGCCTTTATACTGTTTTATCTAATAGTTATTTCGTCCCATTTTGGTTTTGGCTCCAAATAATGTTATTACATTAGTCTTGGTCACATGTGGATCAGCCTCAGACTTCCAAAGCAGACATGATTCATCCAGTGGTTTAGGAAGTGTCAAGATGTTCACTTTGTGGCCTGCCAAAGGGATACCCGGGGATATTTTCCTGTCTGTGGTTGCTCATGGAAGATCATGTCTCACAGCTTAGTCCTGGAGGTGTTAATTTTGGGGCAACGGTTTTAATTCTTAAAGGATCATGGTGATTGATGATACTTGCATGGTATATGTCCAATGTATGATTAAAATGTTTTAATAATAAAAAAAATTGTATCAGGTATCGCCTGCAGACGGTGAAGTCCAGGGCAGGTGTGAGCCTGATGCTCAGACTGCTTTGGGCCTCTCTGAGGTGGGATGACATGGCCGTCAAGCCGTCCGCTGCAGTGGGCACAACCCGCACAGGTAGATTTTAATTTAAAACTTTCCTCCTTAGAAGTGCAACTATCCTATGTACAATGCAGCAAAAGTAACTGGAATTGGACTTTGCTAAAGCTAATATACAAATATTTTCAAAAATAGTTGAGTGTGATTTCTGGTAGTATTCCTCTCTCGAGCTTCCCTCTTCATCACCTCATACCAACCCAGCCCTTTCCCCACTCATTACCACAGAGCAATCTGACACTGAAATAACCACCACGGAAATCATCAAGAGGCGGGATGTGGGACCTTATGGCATTCGTTCTGAGTACTGCATCCGCAAAATCATCTGTCCCCTCGGAGTGCCCGACACGCCAAAAGGTGAGCCCTCTACACTTCTGTACAGACCGGTAGGCTGTAGTAGAAATATTGGCCATGGCATTTTTGTTTTGACTGTTATACTGGTGTACTCCTAGAAACACACACGCCACAGAGGAAGGGGCTGCGATCCAGTGCCCTGCGGCCCAAAAAACCTGAGCCAGCCAAGCAGACTGGTCCTGTGGTGATTGAGACCTGGGTGGCCGAGGAGGAACTGGACCTGTGGGAGATCAGAGCCTTCTCTGAAAGGTCAAATACATGTACATTGAAATTCAATGCTGTTAAAGAACCTTTTTTAAATGAACAATTTTGTTTGTTTAAAGAGTTGAGAAGGAAAAAGCTCAAGCCGCAGAGCAGGCCAAGGTGAGTGCTTAATTTAATTATTGTAGTACTTTCATTCTTTGTCTTAATTTAATGACACTAACCTGCACAACACAGAAACGTCTGGAGCAGAAGCCTGGGACACTCACCATTACTCCAACAGGGACTCCTACTATTTCTGCCACAACTCCCAAAGTGATAGTTGGATCGGTGTCAGGACAGGGTACCCCGAACGCAAAGGTGGTGCTGTCCACAAAGATTGCCGGCAATGTCACCTTCCAGCAGGGCAAGAACTTCCAGCAGTCGTTTGCCACATGGGTCAAGCAAGGTCAAGCTCCTCAAGGTAAACTAAACATACAATAAGGGAACTTACTTTAAAGGAACTGTAACATGTATTTTGCGCTTTTAATTATTCAATGAAGTCATGACATTTACAATCCAAACCTTTTAATGCCCACTGGCAAGACAAGGCAAGTTTATTAGTAAAGCACAGTTCATAAACAAGGCAACTCAAAGTGCTTAACAAAACAAGATTGAAACAATCACACACGGCATCAGAATTATAAATGATCACAGTACATTAAAAGTGCACTGCTGCTCCTCTAACCTGGTGGGCCTCACCTGCTGGGGTTTAGAGAACAAACAGCTGGATATCACCAAGAAACTGGCAACTCAAATGGCAAGGATGCAGATTTCTGGATACACAGCTTGATAACAAAAACATAAAATTAGTTTTGAAATTATGAATACATCTGCCTTAACATTTTGATCAGAAAAGGCCAAAGGTCACCCAGAAAACTAATATTTCACATACTCTCATGTTATTACATACAAGATGAAATAATTATTGGGACTTCCATGTGACGTAATAGTGTTGTCTTTTTTTGTTTAGGCAGCGACACCACTGTGACTGTTGCTGGTGGGCAAACCTTCCAAATTACTGGAACACCAAGTGGTGCTAAGGTTGTGTCCACGAAGCTGCCACTTCCTGCCAACAGCAAGATTGTCACTGTCAACGTTCCATCTTCTCAAGGAGGTAATCCAGCTTTTTCTTTTGTCACTTGAATTTATTTCTTTTTGGTCTGCTGGGTCTGCCTTCATTGTGGTGCAAGTTACAGTATGTTCCGAGTGTGGTATGACACCTTTCTACTCCTGTTGATGTGATCATTTAATAGACACGTTATAATTTATGGTGGAGGATTTTAACAAAATCGACTTGTATAGTCTACTTTTGCTGACGGAAAAATATAGAAATGAGGAGAAATCCATTGGCGCCTCAAAAGCACATAGTGGAAATGTTTAAGTTATAGGTCTGAAACATCAGTTAAGTGACTCACCTTTGATGACACTTTGAAAGGGAAAATAACTTCATGGCAAGTGTAGCTGTTTAACGGACATGTGTATATATCCAGTATGACTGTTGGGCTTTTTGTTTATTTTGGAAGAGCTTGAGGAAGTTGGGTAAGAAAACAAGTTTACTCTGAGGTCTGCTTTCCAGACAGGTAGTCCTCTATATAAGGATCCCTTTCCCCTTTCTGAATGAAAGTGCACCTCCCAGCCACTACAAGCTCTGCAAACAGCTAGCCCATAGAAAAAAATTTTGATATACATTTGTGCGCATAGAAGCAGCAGCTCAGCTCATATGACTGTGGCTAGCATGTCTGTTTGCAGAGGGAAACCCTTGATGTATAGGTTTAACTACTTGGTTTTGGTTAAAAAAAAAAAAAAAGTTAAGAATACAACAGTGAAATGCTGCAAAACTCAGTCGTTCATTTCCCTCAAACTCTATGAAGGTGAAAAACATGAATTGCGCACTTTGTCAAGTTTGTGAAAAAGTTGGAACAAAATTCACCCATAATTTATTAAACCCTGCTTTAACTATGTGGGCATGTTTACTGTTGCCCTGCTAATATTGGCGTACTTGAGCTGTTATGAAAAGCTGTTCAATTAGGCAATTGGGAATGGGCATATATTATATGTTGACTTCCAATGTGCCCTGTAAATGAGTGGTGTGTACCTCTTCCACAAATCTACAAATGTATTTTAAACAAATATTTGATTTAAATAAAAATTATATTTGGTTAAGACGAGACTTGACCCTTTAATCTCTTTAGGTGTGGTTCAGCAGAAAGTGTTGAGCATCATACCGTCCAGTACAGCAGGCAGTGCACAGACCTACACCACTTTACAGCCTCATGGCACAACTCTCAGTATTCGACCAAACACACCAGTGACTCAGCAGCAGGTAAAATTCTATATTTCTGATACGTAAAATGTATATCGTAAAATGTATTTTATGAAAAGGAGTTTGCTTCTGCTCATACTAGGTCCTTACAGCTGGAGGTCAGATACGCCCAGGAATGACTGTAATTCGGACCCCACTCCAGCAGTCTGGTGCCATGGGGAAGACTGTGATTCGAACTCCTCTTGTCGTTCAGCAAGGTAAACACATTTTTTTTTTAAATAGGTTTTGGTAGCCCTGTTCCCATTTTTGAACTGCAATATTAATAATATTTTTACTTTCTGGCTATGCTCCTCTGCCAGGCCAAGGTGGTCAGCAGGTAGTGACTCAGATCATTCGAGGCCAAGCTGTTTCCACTGCAGTCTCTGGTGCAAGTGCTGTCGCCACAGTGGCCGGTCACGGTCCTGCCAGTCCCACTGCGGGACAAACACCCGGGGCGCCGCGAGCTCAAGGCCCAGTCAAAGTTAGCTTGGCACAACTCACACAACTCACACAGGTACGGAAAGAAAGGAATCCCAGCATGTTATTATCGTGTGTTACTTGAGCAGAGATGTTATTTTATTGTCTCCTAGAAGCAGCAGCAGCCTGGTGTGGAGCGACAGCCTGGTGTCAGTGGGACGCAGCAGCCGCTCACAGTAATGGTTCAGGGCCAGGGTCAGACCACCGGGCAGCTCCAGGTCATTCCTCCCGGAGTGACCGTGATCCCGGGTCCTGGTCAACAGCTCATGCAGGCCACTCTTCCCACTGGGCAGATGCAGCGTTTCCTTTTCACCCCCATAGCTACAGGTATTACACCAAGCTCAAGCAACTGCAATAAGAAAGACAATGACAAATATTATATTTAAGGTTTTGCTAAAGGCATCTATGTTCCAGGAAACCTCTCAAAAACGCCGGCCCAGCCTGCGCACCAAGCTGTTGCCCCATTGCAGGCAGGTGCATCTCCTCTGACCACATCCAACACCCCATCAGTGGCGACTCCCCAGGGACAGATGCCTCCACAGATGCCCATCCAGTCCCCCACATCATTGCAGATCAAGACCCCGGCGGGCAACACTCAGTTACAGCTTCAGCAAACATCGCAGCTCATCAATGTGTCTGGACTCCAGCAGCAGGTACAGGTAAAGCGCTCTCATGAGATTTAATTAAAACCATTTAACCTACAAATGAAATGGAAAGTGGCTTAGAAACGAGGGTCTTGATTTTGTGCAGGTGTTGGCCCAGTTGCAGGCTCAACAGGGTGGAGCATTGCCACAGCACTTCAAACTTCAGCTTCCAATCCAGATACAACAGACTGGGACCACCTCAGCTCAGGGAGGACAGGTAATGAAAACCATAGAAATCCAAAAACCTTTTTGTATTAACTTGGGTAACTTGCAGACTAGGAAGTTACCATTTACAAATGATTTCTGCACAGATTGGGAATGTGGTTACAATTCAGGCAGCATCGGTGCAGGAGCAGCTACAGCGGATCCAACAGCTCAGAGAGCAGCAGCAGCAGAAGAAACGGCAAGCAGCAGAGGCCAAAAGAGAACAGGCTCTCAACGCAGTCAATCCCAATGACATCATACAGAAACAGGTCTGTTAATAGTCCTCCCCAATTTCATCTTTCACCATTAATTTAAGCTTTGTATAATGTGTGTTACATATACGTTTAGAAGTTTACGTCTGCTTCATCCATCCCCTTTTCAAAACTGTCTGTTAATCTTGTTTTATAGGTTTTGAAATGTATATCTTGATTGATTTGATGTGAATTGTCAATAATAAACATTACAGAACTTCTTTCAGGTGGTTATGAAGCAAAATGCTGCTATTGAACATCTGAAGCAAAAGAAAACCTTGACACCGGCAGAACGAGAGGAGAATCAGAGGTTAGTTGTGTTTTTGAAACGATGAATTATGCAGAACATTGACAGCTTCTGCAGTAAGACCACGTGTGAAAGCCTGATTCCGTCAGATCTCAGAAGCTAAGCAGGGCATGGCTTGGTTAGTTCTATGATGGGATACCTCTGAAGGTGCCTAAACCACATTGCCCAGTTTGAACGGCTGGTTTTGTTTGGAGAGGAAGATGGCACAGATTAGTTTTCTTGCTATTCACTCTGCCCCAGGCAATGATTAGAGGAAGATGCAATACAAAACTGGTTCATTATTAATATTAAAATAAATATTTTGATATTGTGCTTATGCCCTGAAGAAAATAAAAATCTTCATTCACATACTGAACTTATGGGCCCGTCTGACCTCCTACTGCCCCTAACAGGCAAGTGTCCATATAGAGAGACATTGTGTCAACAGTGTCCGTTCACACAGTACTGAAACGCCAAACTGGACCACTCTGGCCACTGTTTACCTTTCATTTCTGTCAAGCACTTTTCCTTTTTTCCCTTTCGAAACTGTTCATAAAACCACTGCTGGAATATGGTCTTGAATGTTTACGGTTTTCCTCCTCGTCCTCCACTTGGCTGCTCTGTATGCGTTGTTTACATTGAGCTACACACATACCGTGCCTCGGCGACTGGCCTGTTCCTGACCCCAGCTGTCATAGAAGTGTGTGTTTGCCGTTCATTGCTCACACTGAACTAGGCTGACGGAGCTAAGCTAGAAGTATTTTCAATTGTAGTTGTGAATGTTGGCGAACACCAGTCAACCCTGTATCCAAATTATACAAAATGTATTTGAGTATAGGTCAGACCACTGGTTTATTGCTTCTCCTTACAGGAAATTATAAACGTTCTTTTTTTTCCCTCATCTTGACATGAGCCTTCCAGCCTCGTTCTATCTCTGAGCGTGCTTACTGTTCTCACCCCCGCCCCCCCTGACTACAGAAGCAGCAGCCTTTACAAATAAACACTCAAACAAGCCCCACATCGGTCACAACTGGTCTCTTATGAATTCACACTGTTGTAGCGCCCCATTAACGAGGCCTGTTCCCCGCATTATTCCTCGGAAATTGAAAGTTCAAAGGCTGTTTATTTGCGAACAAAAGTCAAATAATCAGTCAGGCAATTGACATACCAGTAAATTAGATTGTTACTCATATAGTTTAGAAAGCAGACACAAATATTGTTCTTGGCATTGTACGGGTGCTTGTGTAACGTTTTTATTATTTTTTTGTCCAGAATGATTGTGTGCAACCAGGTAATGAAGTTCATCCTCGACCGTATTGATAAAGATGAGAGACAGGAGGCGAAGAAGAAGAAAAAAGAGGAGGTGGTGGAAGCCAAGAGGAGATTGGCCAATGCCAGTAAATTGTCCACGCTACTGTTTCGACACAAAGAGAGCCTCAAGCTGGAGATCCTGAAGAAGCGGGCTCTTCTCGACAAGGAGCTTCAGCTGGAGGCCCAGGTAAAGATGTTTCTTTTTTTTTTATTCTGCAATTTGGTCACATGCTACAATAATACAATAATACAGACTCTACTTGGTTGGTGCCACTCTCTAAAGCGTGTGAATCCCAGTATATCTCACTATATCTCACAAACCAGACTGAACATGTATCCAATGCAACTTAAGACGAGATGAATGTGACCAAAGGAATCCCAGTACAATTTGCAATATATTTATCTGCAACAAATTGAAACCAAAATTGGAAATTATTCTACATCATTCTACAGCTCATTAAAGACCTTATGACGGGTTTGATTTATTTAGAAATACAGTTTTAATACCATTTTATATTAGAAGAGAACTACTAAAGGTTTCAAAATCAGTTGTTGTTTTTTTTGTCTGATCCCCCCAAATCGAAATAACCCCATAGCAACGCCCTTAGAAACGAAAAAACTTCACAGCCCTTGGTGACGTCAGAACGGGTACGTTTCAATGCTGTAAGTTGTTTACAATTTGGTATTCGTTCTTTTTTCGCGGATATTCAAGATGACAAGGCCGTGTACAGCGAGTCTAAGATAACTACTAGAATATATCATTTCGTTGTAACTGAGATAGTCCAGTGGTTGTGTCGCTGGACTGTCAATCCAGATACTTGGGTTCAAATCCCACATCGGACACTTTTTCACACTCAAAACGGCAATTTATGTGTAGTGAGCAATTGTCACCTGTAGAGGGCAGTATTGTGTTGGGCATCAGTGGAGAGAAGAGAGAAAAGGCAGTCCTGTGGCATAGATCCATGGTTTTCAATGCATGGGCGTAACCCGCTATGACGTCACACACAGGTTAGAGCATAGACAACTTAAATTCATGAAAAACACGTTCTTTTTATAAAATATAGGATTTTTTTTGCCGGAATCTCTTTCAAATTGACATTGTCATGCAATTTTGATATCCACTATTTTTTTTTTTTTAAACCCGTCATAAGGTCTTTAAATCATAGTATAAAAAAGAACAAGTTTGTGTATTTTTGTGACTAGAAGTGTAAACTCACCAGCTCAAACCAATGCACGGGATCTTTTCAGGAGGAGCTGAAAAAGGACTTGCTACGGATGCAGCGCGAGAAGGAAAAGGCTCAAGCCGCCGCTCAACAGGCCGCTCGAGCCGCAGCCGCTGCCCAACAGCTCGCTCTGGCCCAGCACCACCTCGCCACCAGCAGCTCCGCCCACAAGAGGAAGCGAGACGAGGAACGGGACGCCAAGTGCAAGAAAAAGAAGATGATCTCAACCACATGCACCAGAGACAACAAGAAGGACATCAAGCTCTACTGCGTCTGCAAGACTCCCTACGATGAGACCAAGTAAGTCCGAAGACTCTTTTGTTTTGTGGCTGTAGGTGATATTGACAGTGTTCGGGAGAAACGGAAATCATGTACCAGGAATACGTGTTCAGAATACTATTTTTGAGTACTGTATTCTGGAACATATTACTTTATACTTTTCTGGTATTCAGAAGACGGTTACTTTTCAAGCATTTATGGTATATATTTTGGTTGTAACAGGAAATTACATAAAACAAATGAAAGCTGTATGCAAGTTTGTGAAATCGTTTTTAATTAACAGTAACAAAACATGCATAACCAAAACACTAATTTGAATAAATCGCTGCATGTTTACATTATATTATTCAAAAGAGCGCCAACTTGTTATATTAAGAATGTTAATAAATTACATACTCCATTTTAAAGCGGCAAGCATTCTGTACTCTTAACCAAATGACACTTCAAAGTATTTTCCCAACATTGGTTATAGATAGGTCTGCTTTAGAATTTGTTTTGTAACTAAAGACAGGATTTGAAATCAATACATAAATAAAATGTAATTGTGTGCAATAACTTGTGCGTTGCATCTTTTCCCAAATTTCCAATTGTTAAAAAAACATTTAAAAACATCATTCCAATGGCAATTTTGATATTGTTTGGTAGGACCATTGTTACAAAACTTTTGCCCAACTTTCAGGTTCTATATCGGTTGTGACTTGTGCACAAACTGGTACCATGGCGAATGTGTGGGAATCACGGAAAAAGAAGCAAAGAAAATGGATGACTACATTTGCGTGGAATGTAAGCGCGGCCAGGAGAGCAGCACGCAGGAGCTGTACTGCATCTGCCGGACACCGTACGACGAGTCCCAGTGAGAAGAAGATCTTGTGGAATGTTTGCTCAAATGAATATGGCCTTTTCTCAAGTGTCTCCCTCCTCCAGGTTCTATATCGGATGCGATCGTTGTCAGAACTGGTACCACGGCCGCTGTGTGGGCATCCTGCAGAGTGAGGCCAGCCACATAGACGAGTATGTCTGTCCCCAGTGTCAGTCTACAGAGGATGCCATGACCGTGTTCACGCCCCTCACGGACAAGGACTACGAGGGCCTGAGAAGAATACTTCGCTCATTACAGGTGAAATAATACCTTTGTTGTGTCAGTGTTTTATCTTGAAATAAAGAGGAAAGCAATGGTACTGGGATATAAACACAGTGGGCGTTTTCACCTATAAGCAGCGGGTGGCTGAGTGGTTAGCACTCACGCTTCTCAGCAAGAAGGTTCCCTGTGTCTGCGTAGGTTTCCTCCGGGTACTCCGGTTTCCCCTACCGCTATAAACATGGGCAATAGTTCAGGGTGAATGAGTGTGAGTTGGTGAGTGCGAATGTGGGACAACGGATGCAAATTAGCTCAAGGTTACAATCCAGAGTGATGTGTTCATTAACATGTACTGTCCCAACCAAATAAACAATAAATAAAATAAGCAGTACATAATTGAAAACATCTGTTAACGCTATATATTGTACTCCAGTTGTAAAAAGGAAAATGAGTGACAAACTTGCAAAATAAACAGATCTTCTACCAAGAATGAAAAATCACTCAAATTTCAAGGCTTAATATTAATAATAATTTCAAGTCGAGGTTAATATTTGGTATTAAAGTTGTGTTTTTGTGACGTTTTGTACACTTTCTGTACATTTTGTATAACACACATTGTATAAAAGGCAATTGAAGTCCCTGTGTCTGATTGGTTGGGTTCTCCAGAGCAGCCCGTGGACAACTGCCAGCTCCCTGTTTTGTTTGGTTCCTCTAGCTTCTTCCACCTCCCTCACTTCTGTTTTTAGAGAGTGACGCGGAAGGATTCGAGCAGACCATCTGTGTTGATCCACCTGCTTCCACTGTCATTTTCCCCGACTTGTTTGTATTCTTTTTTGGTCCCAGTTTTCTGACGTCTGTGTGTCTTCTTCCCTCCCTCAGGCTCATAAAATGGCTTGGCCGTTTTTGGAGCCAGTGGACACCAATGATGCCCCAGACTACTACAGGGTTATTAAGGAACCAATGGGTAAGTAAAATTCTGATACAACTGAAAATTGCACAAAACCAGTGAAAGTAGGCTTATAAATATATGTACTTCTGACTGCGTCTTCAACCTCCCATTTAGCCAGTTTTGCCTTTGAATTTCTGTTCAGAAAAAATAATAATTTGGTTGACCCAAAATCAGTCTCTTAATCATAAACTTCAAACGGCAGCTGGCAGCCACAGAAGGCCTCCAACTCAGATCAAAGCTGTCAGGTAAATGCAACTTGCGTCAACGAGAGCTGTTTTGAACAAACAAACTGCTAATAAGCTGCAGGGCATCCTGTGGAAAGAGACCACTCTACTCCTTTTGGCCTGAGTCTGGAAACTCGAGCCATCCACTCGCTCCTCCACCCCAAGAAAAAGACCTTTTTGGTTCTTACAAATTAAAAGTATTTGGCCAGTGGGAAGCTTTGGAAGCTTTTGGGATGAAATCTGAAGAGCGAGAAGAAGGAGGTCTTTGATATTGACCGTGAAGTTTGCATAGGCCAGCTGGGTGGGGCCTTTGAGTCTGATATGTTTGCTTTAAGTGCAGCTCACAAGCAGCAGCACAAAATTACGTTTGTTAACACTGTATGGTATGTGGGCCAAAAGTAGCAACAACATGAAAACCTCACCTAAAACTATTATTTTCTGAGTGAGTAACAAAATTGGTCCAATTAAGAAAACTGCCCAATCTGGTAACATTTCAAAGTTAAAATGGTCTGGAGCACTTCCTGTTACCTGGAAAATAAAATGTATATACAGAAAAGGTACTCATACAACACACATGGGGTAAATTGAATTATTTGAATGGTCTCTGATAAAAGCGTAATCTATTGGAATTCTTGACATCCAGTGTGCTCCCAGTTATATTGATTAATCAAAACAGATGTGAAGACCATTGTCCTCAGGAATGACATTGGTCAGGTTTTGGAGAGGCGAGCAGAGAGAGGTTAAATCTGGCCAGACTTATGGATTTTTGCTGTTGCACAAAAAGCGATAAAACATGCTCTGCGGAAACATTTTTGATTCGCTGTCAACCACACACACTACAATTACTAAAGCATGAATGTTGGAGAAATGGATGCACTGGCCTCAGTGTGTGCCATGTTGAAGGATTACAGTGGTTTAAAAAATAAATGCATCTGATTTCTTTGTTTGTGTCTCCAGATCTCTCCACAATGGAAATGAAGTTGCAGAAACATCAATACATTAAGCTGACAGAATTTGTAGCAGACATGACCAAAATATTTGACAATTGTCGCTACTACAACCCCAGCGACTCGCCCTTTTACCAGTGTGCTGAGATTCTGGAGACCTTCTTTGTCCAGAAGCTCAAAGGATTTAAAGCTAGCAGGTAAGTGTCACGCTTGTCCACGTTTCCTGGTTGTTTCGTTTCAACCAAACCTGGTAGACTATCCTTGTTTCACCATTTAGAAAACATCCTTCTAAATGCTGCTTACTCATTATTTTAAAGTACATTTTTACTGTTATTGTCAGCCTTATATTAAAAGTAATAAATGCCTTGCATCCACAAGTTTGCTGCTCACCTCGCTTCCAGGAGCAAGTGTTGCATGTAGGATTGTTTGTGTTGTGAGCGTGTACTTGCATCCTCTGTCCAGTGCTTCACCTGCATGTATTGACTCCATCCATTCTCTCTCCTCTTTTGCAGATTGTGATGTCTAAACTCAAGATGCCTGGGGTCAATCTTAAAACAAACTAATTTGTTGTCCTGGATGTGGCTGTTTGACCCCGATCAAACAGCCTTAAAATCTTTAGGAGCAACTACTTAGGTCATACCACAGAGGGTGTGATCTTGAATATTGTTCAATAACGGCAGCCATGTTGGTAATACCAATCATTCAAGACATATTTTCTTTTTCTTTTTTTTCTACAATACAAACTATTGAGTTTTGATTATGTAAAAGACATCTTTTAATAAAATGAATGTTTAATTAGGTACCAGACTGCAGTAGAACAACTTACCTCAACTTTAAGCAGTTTTAAACACATTTCTATTGGCTCTGTATTATATTTCATGTTCGTACATTTTTTGTGAAGGACAATTTTTCTTAAGGAATAATGGTATGATTTGTAAATATAGAGAGAACATCTAGTGTAGTTTTCCTTACTCGAAGGCAACTCTAGTTCAGATTAACTCCTTGTACAGTGCTATAGTTACAGAGAGCAGGTTGGTCCGACATTGCGTACATTTAGATCACATTTCACCAACATGGCTGCTTGGTAGTTCTTTGTTCAAATGTCCGACCCACCGGCATCCCTGCAAATGTTTGTTTTTATTTTATTTTGTATCTCTCTCTAGTGCATATTTTGTCATAATGTAAAGCTTTTAATAAAAAAAGAAACTACCAAATGACCCAAAAGGTTCCTCATTCTCTCTCTGCCTGTTTCTGTAGGTCTCATAACAACAAACTACCATCAGCTGTCTCTTAGTCAACTCAAAATGTATGGCTTAAAGTCCAGCCCAATGGTTTGAATGTGACGGTCACTTCTCGTTTGTTGGAAATGCCGATGGTGAACGGGGGTCAAATTTACAGCTCTGGACCAACTGGACCAACTGCAGCATCTCCCTGCAAGCATTGGCGTTTTCAGCTGGTCCCCTTTTGCATCTGAAGTCAAGAATCCAAGTGTCCCTAAGAAATCATAGTCTCTCATTGACAGCAGCAGACTTAAAAAATGTTTTTACTCAGGCAGAATTTACAGTTTTTCTACATTGTGTCGTTGTACTTCCTTAGAGACATGACATCAACCATCTCTCTGCCCTTTCTAAACGCTGGTGAGAATTATGTCATCACTGCAGTTTCAGTACAACCAGGTAAATTTTGTTATAAAGACAAGGGTTGGGGTTGGAAAAAACCATAAATGCTAGATCAACTTTTATTCCAAATTTGTGGTTCAGATTGTCGCCCATGGTAATGCAGGCCTACATGTGATTTAATACAGTTATAAGCAGTAAGTATAACTATAAATTCAAGTCAGTGTTCTAAGATTTGATATAGGAGGAGATTAGTGCTGTCCCATCACTGTAGCAAACTGCTTCAAACTGGACTAGTTCAAATTATTCATCTTGCACAGTGCAAAAATTGTCAAATAATTAAAAACGATTAGAGTTATACAAATCCCACTGTATTCTAAAGCCCCATAAGTATTCCACTAAGTTTGACGGATTGGATAATGTGTCTTTCTCTACTCAGAAGAACTGGCCCCCAGTGCATGGTTAAGTAATTGGATAATAGACTTTTCCTCTCAGTCATTTTGTGGTCTGTGGCAGTGAGCTGTTGAAGGGGGTAAACTAAAAAGTATTTGTACAACTGGGTTTGTATGAACATTTTATAGCTAAATTTTTGGCATACTTGGGAACATTTTTTGTAACATGTCATTTTATGTTGTGTAGAAGGGAGTGGTTGAGGCAAGGCTTAAAAAATGAACTTGTAAACAATCTGAGATGAGATGGTCACTCTAAGTTTTGGTGTTATCCACTTTTTGTAACTTGTAAAAACTTGTATATTTCAACTAATAAGGTAAATACAGATTTTTAGAGTTGTAGAAACATTTATTTTTCTCATAGAACCAGCAGCTCAGTCCATAAAAATATTTAACTATTTTTCTTTGAATTTAAAATAGGTGAAATTGCCCTTTCTTCGCTGCATATTACATATTTTGAAAAGAAAACCAATCTTTTTTGTAATTTATAGATAACCAGTTTCGCTTAAAACCATAACATTATTAAGGTGTTATTTATTTATGAAGATAGAAATTTGCCCATTTGATAAAATTGATCAAAACACATACAAATCCGTTTTTGTGGCAGTTGTCTCTTTTGTACTGTATGGGAAATTTCACTGTTAAATAAAATGTTTTGGAGGCCCTGCTTTTTTAAAGAAGTGTTTTCTTTGATTCTTACACACACACATATGCAGAACTGATGCTTGTTTGCAGTAACTTCTGACTGCACCTCATGTCTATATCCCACTCCTCCTCTGTTTGTGGCTTTGGGGATCGGTCGCTCACACGGGAAACCACTTGGAAATCTTCCCACCTTCACATCTTTGGTTAGAAGAATGTCCCCCTGCTGTGATCGTAGCTTCCTGTCCGCCTCCATCTGTTCCCCCCAGTGCTGATCTCAGATAGGCCTGGGAACTGACCGCTTCAGCTGACAGATAATTAAGATGAAAAAGGGGGGAAAACTGCTCAAAAACTCTCTCTAAACCCAGACAGAGACTATGGTAGTTACAGTGTAATCATTGTGTTGCAGTTATGTCAATTCGCCCCTTTTTCGAGCTGTAATCTTGGTGGATAACAAATGATTTACAAAAAAACACATTTATTTTCAGAAACATGTATAAAACTGTGCAAAATGCTCCCATTTAAGGTCCAAATACAAGATAATTAATCATACAATAAAGTCTTGACAGGATTGACGTTGGTCTATTGTACATGAGCAACAAAATCACTGGGATCATCTTAAATCATCCCTAAAAGTCCAATGACTCGTTTATAATTTACTCCCTTCTGTTATTTGGAAAGGCCTTGTTTGAAGTCCAAAGCTTTCTTAATATTGTGAAGACATTAATAACGTAATGATCCCTGTTATCCTTCAACATCATTTAATTTACATGTTTCTCACATCAAAACAAGCTCATATTTCCTGCTAATGACCTGACACTAAAGGCATGGAAACATTTAAGTGTTATATTCAAGCATTGGAATTATTGGGGTTTTGTGTGAATATGTCACTTAAGACAGTGGAGTCAGGCATCATGTACCAGCCATGATTAACAGTTTCTAAATAAACAGTAGTGGGATAGGATTGCTGCAGACACCGGTAGTTCACATAATATGTAAAAAGAAAAGAAAAAATGTATCGCTGTTTTAGAGCGGTTGTTTTTTGGCCACAATATTGAGAATTGTTCTGAATTATTTACTTTCCAAAAATTCAGAAGTTCAATTTCAGACAAATGAATGTAAATGTCAGGTTTCCACTGTACATGCTTGTACTTTGGCCCAAGCAGTTTGACATAATAAACCAATAAAAAAAAAGTGCATGGTGATATAAACGTTGCCCATATAAAAGTAATTTCCCTCATATATTGTTTTTTTTCATTGAGGCCAGTCCTGTTAGATCAATGTCTCTGGCCCTCAGCGGGCTGCAGTCTCTTGAGTTCACCTACACCTGGAGCGCATGGCGTCTGCAGCTTTCTGATGTCTCCGTTTGTTGAACCTCTTGATGTAGTTGTTGCTTCGTAGCAGACCATCTCCAGGTTTCAGTTTACCTCCAACGAGAGCCAACAGATCAGAGGGAAGATGCCGCCTCCGGTGATAGATCTGGCCCATGATGATGTATCGGGTCCCTAGAAAGTCCAAACAAAAACTGAAATATATGCATTTGTTGGCCTCTGAATCAAAGCTTTTACAGAAGCCTGGGCGGATTAAACGATCCTTTCTTTTATGAATGATTGTTCTTAACATCTATTCATTCAAAACATTAAAGGAGCAGTATGTAAAAATCTGGCCAAAAGTGGTACGGCAACCGCTCCCTCTCTCCCTGACTCAGGTTGCCAGATATGCAGACAAATCCAGGTGGGGCCATAATAGCTGAATAGACATGAGCTTTGTCAACATTTGAGAATCATAACGAGACCTTTTTTAGTTCTGCGGCCACATGTTACTTTATTAGTGAGATTTGCTTGATGCGGTGAGATCTGGCAATCACATACTTTCTGATCAGTAAAACAGTGGAGGGCGGGACATCGAAATTAAAACAATCACAACATTTTGGGGCAGTAAAACTAATTTTGAAATTCAAATATCTCGACTGAACTACTGTTATCAGATAAAGAAGTATTCCAAAAGTATTCACCTTTAGACATAGTATGGCCATTTAATGAAGACTTTACATGAAAATCTTACATATTGCTACTTTAAAGATCATCCTTTTAAATACTAAAATACAAATGACTGAATGACAGTGACAGAATCACCCCCACTCCAAAGACCTGACTGTCTTAACACAAATATTATAGCTAACTCACCAAGTTTGATATCGGGACAGGGTTTGCTGCATTTGAATGTGTCCACGACCAGCAGACGGACTTTGAAGAAGAAGCTGTCCGGAGTCACGTAGAGACGACTCATTTTGTAGAAGCCGTCACTGGTCACCATCAGAGTGATCAGACGCACTCCTTTTCGTACCACCTCTATGTCATGGACAATGCCGTTGATGGCTGTGAGGGCAAACCATAGACAGTGTGGGGTTAGTGCACTGCAGCACAGGAAACCGTTCAATCATTGTTAATGAGGGACAAATATGTTTATATCTAAAAAGCATACAAGGAACTTTTCACATGAATAATCGTCCACCACACGATACTGAAATTCTAAACTCAATGCTGATATTAAGAAATAGAGTAGATATTAACACCATGGTGATAATGTAAAACTTTTTTTTAACAATGATCCGCAAGTGTTAACCAAAATAACAATACAGCATCATAACACTTTTTAATAGTACGACAAAGTTTTATCCTAGTTCTGAGATCGAAGAAATCTGTTCTGAGAATCTCACATGATCATTTTTCCCCCAGTATCTTTCTAGATTTAATATATCAATTCATATTTTTTCTTTCTATAGAGACCAGGCATTCCACAAACACTTCTATACATTTTATCACATGTTTATATCTGTCATATTTCTTTCTGTTGTGGGCTTTAACTAATTTTATTTCCCTTATACAGCTTCAGGCCTCTTCGTTTCAGCACTCTGGCGCCCACAGGGTTCATTTGAATTTAAACAGTGTCCCATTGTACGTACCAAACTCGCTGTAGCAGTAGTGCTCACGCTCGTCCTTCTCCTTCCTGCACTCGCTGAGGCAGAAGGCGTCATGTGTGAAGTCAGACTCTACAGAACAGAGAGAGCGTGAACCGTCTGCCAGGCTTCTGCGTGGAGCCAGACCCTCATTTCACTGTCACTTCTGAAGATAAGCTTGTCATTACAGAAACCCAGACGCTGCATTCCATATTGTGGGGTTATTAGGGGGAGCAAAGCGGGGGCTGCTTAAAATCTTAATTGCCCATTTAGAATATTCAGTGCACGGTTTTTGATTGTTATCACTTTGACATTTCAAATGAATGGGCGTCATAGTGCCTGGGAAAGTTGTGGGTTGACTATAAAATGGCTGTCTTTTGGTACTTACTTCACTTAAAGCTATATACGTAAGTGTGATCCATACATTTGTTGTAATATCACTGCACCATATATTTTGCTAAAATAAAACACTAAGTCAGAAGAGTCAGCTCTTACTTACACTTTCCAAATTTTGGGGGTATGGGAAGGGTGAAACTTTGGAGGTACCTCTAAGGGTGAAATATTGTACACAGCAGTGATAGCTGACCAAACTATAAACATATATACACATATTTATTAGAGCCAGATCCACACCACTATCTACATCACGCACTCCTGCACCAAACAGATCTTCACGATGATCAATTTCGGATTACTATTTTTATGCGTTATTTTGTCCAGCCCGACAAATATGAAAAGAATCTGAATTTTGAAATGTTGCATACATTTTTACATCTTGGCATCATCTCTATCACAGTATGACGTAGGAAAAAGTGTTATTTTCAGATCTTGTACCTCTTCGAAGCACATCAAAGTGATAGAGAAGGCTGGAGGAGCGGCGGTTGTGCAACACAGAGGTACGGCTGTTGTTTCGGGTCACAACTGCAGACTGGTAGATGCTGGACTTTCCCGGGCGGTTCTCTTCGGGGTCCATAACTCTGCGGTTTGGTGTGTCTTTGCGTGGGACAGTGGCTGGAGGTTCAGGCTGAGGAGGTGGGGATTTGGCTCTGCTGTTGGGGTGCAGCTCATGCTCGTTAACCTGGGGCTGACTGGTGCTGGAGACACGGTCCTGGTTGGATTTTGGTATAGTATTATTGGTGACATGAGCTGTAGATCCGATCAGAGAGATTTTGGGAAGCAGACCTTCACTCTCTCTAGTCTTCTCACTGTTGTGCTCAACCAGGCGATCTGTCTTTAAACCCTTTTTGCTCTTGTTGTGGAGGTTATGGTGGCGAGGCAGTGGAACCAGATCACTGTGTTTGGGCCACACAGCAGAAGGCAGAGGGTGCAAGGGGAACTTGGACTCACCAGATCGACTGTTCTTCTCTAAAAGCTCGTTAATGGGTAAAGACGACTCCTTGACCATAAGTCTGCTCTGGTTGCTCAGAGCTCCTTCCACAAAGCTGCTTGGGCCCTTCTCAACCACACTGTACAGATCTATAAGCCAAAACAATGAATAACATTTATAAGTGTAATTATTTTATATTCAGGCCAAGTGTCCAAATATTACAGTGCCATGAAGTATTTTACACATTTGATCTACATGAATGCAATAACGTATACTGCATTAACAGTTGTAATAAACATGTTTTCATATAGATTGGCTGTAACAATGAAAAATTCATTCATTGATATGCATTCATTATCTTTATGTTCCCTATAATGTACGACTTTGTTAGTAATTGATTAATCAGTAGCTCCTCTATAAACATACTTCCGACTGAGACATGTGATTTTAAGATTTTCAAACTCAGCTGTCACTACATAATCAGTAGATGTGTAAGTAGTCTTTTTGGGGTAAATACAATATATAACTGACTTTTATCCAACTCAAATGTAAAATACAATCATTGCGTTCTAAACAACTAATAGGTTAAGAGAAAGAATCCTTTGATTGTTCATTAGTTACAGTCCAACCTATAGATATAATAATCAATAATAATAATTACATACTACTTACCATTAATTACAGGCTCCTCTGAGTTAAAACAGGGCAATGTGTGGAGTAGGAGAAACATAAAAATCCTTGCCATTGTGTCTGTCTCATGTGCAGTTTACCCACGTCTGCTACTACAGCTGAGATTCCATGGGATTTATACTGAAGATGTGATGGGCGTGGCTAACTTTACACAAATCAGGCTTTCCATTCATTCATAATATCAGGTGCAACCTAAACGCATTTGAGTAGAGGTTAAAAGTGGAGATTTTAGTAGTTAGATCAATGCTTCTCATTGACGGTAAAAGCATGTTTCAAAGTGTACCTAAGCGTAGAAGTTTAACGTAGTTAATCTTAACTCCTTTAGTATAAATGTACTATAATAAACCTTTGCTGCCCTCCACTGGCCATTTGAAGATGTTTTACTTTGGTTTCTTGTGACAACCGTAAATTTAGCCTGTTGCAGTAGTCTATAATAAGACATCCTTGCATGGCTGGTTATAGAATAGACTATATGATATATCAAAAGTCTTCTCCGCAAATTAGTCGTTATGCACACCTCAGTTTGATTGATCGCGTTTGACGATATGCTGCTAAAATGTACTTTACTAATGTACGTTTGACAACCTCGAGGAAATGTTGCTTTGTTCGGATAGCTGGGTTGCGAAGAACCAAACAAACTTAGCAACAACACCTTATTTAGAATTAAATCAGTATCATGAAGAATTACATTTGACAAACTCTTTAAAAACGCAGCGAAGACGTATTTAAATTATTACATTCACCGCATTGTTGAGAGTATATTACCAAATACTACATTACTAAAAACACAAGTAAATGCGACCCAGATGGGACTCGAACCCACAATCCCCAGCTCCGGAGGCTGATGCCTTATCCATTAGGCCACTGGGTCATTACGTCGCCGATATGGCGGAAATACGTAATATAAACATACACAATACAGAACGGTTTTCTTATGGATCACTATAAAGTCCGTACTTGAGACGCAGTAAACAGTTGAACGCAATGTTTTTGTGTGTGCATGAAGGCAACACTAGAGCGTCCTCTTCAGCCCCGAGCAAAACCAAATCAGCACCAGCACGTGTCTGTCTATGGTCTACGGTCCAAGACCAATTCGACGAGCGTCAAATATTTTCCTCAACGTAGTTCTGGCAAGGCTGGTTCGCATTCCACCTCCAACATTATAACCCTTAATCAAAATCAGTGTTCCCAGGCCGATCTTAATTCTAATACTAAAAATAATCATAACTTGACTACACAGTTATATACTTGCGAAAATACTATAGCCATCATGGCCAAATACTATGCTAGAGGGAAAAAACCTCCCTGTCTCTTTGGAAGGGTTTTCTTAGGAGGAGGGGCATAATACTGTTTGGGCAAATCAGAATCGAGAAAACCGCATGGGCGGTATCTATGACGACGTCACACACGGCGCATGGAGAGGTAAGCTTTTAACTTACCCTACAGATATCTACAGTTATAATTAACGCTACATCAGTTTTTTATCTTAATACTATATATTGGTATTGTATGGCCTTTGTGTAGATACATTAGCAAATGTAACGTGAGGCTGACTAAGGTAGTTAGTCCGTAACTAACGTCTTTACCATTCGTTTTACCCATGTTTACGCTCTGTGTTGTTTTAAACGTTATTCGTTATTATTCACGAAACTCTAACCATCGTAAACAATTGCGTTAGTTTACGATGGTTAGAGTTACGCTGAGCTAACGTTATTATGTTGTGTGCAGCGCAACGGTGAGAATGTCATCAGTTGAAGGAAGAGTCAGTCATTTCAAGAACAAGGGCAAGTGTGTTTCTGTGAGTTCCCTTTGGTAGTGAATGAATTATCCTGTGTAAAACCTGTATCTAGTGGTATAATGGTAATGTTTTGTTTCTGCTTTTGTAGGAGCTAAGGCGCAGGAGAGCGGAAGTGAGCGTGGAGCTCCGTAAAGCTAAAAAGGAGGAGCAGATATTAAAGAGGAGAAATGTTAACGCTGTGCATGAACTCGTTCAGCAGGAGGAGCGAAACGAACAGGTAATCTGTGAGTGTGTATAATGGCATGCATAAACAATTAATAACCATGTGCATGTTTTAAATGTACCTTAAAGTTTTCTGGCTGTCTGCACAACTTTCTATGTAGTCACAGATAAATGTGTTTTTTTGTGTTTTAATGTGTTATTATTGTACGTTTTCTAAACAGTGGTCAGCTGAGAAAATTGTGGAAGGCGTGTGCAGTGACAATCTGCATTATCAGTTGCAGGCAACACAGGCTGCCAGGTAAAGTCCTTTAAATGTTTTCTATTTTATAAACTTTTTAATATTACTAGTTAATTAATATGTGATATATTTTTCTATACAGAAAGATTCTTTCAAGAGAACCGAATCCTCCAATCGACAGCATAATTGAAGCTGGTCTTATTCCCAGATTTGTGTATTTTCTGTATCTATCTCAATTCGCTCCAATTCAGTTTGAGGCGGCATGGGCACTTACAAATATTGCCTCTGGAACTTCAGAACAGACCAGGGCTGTTGTGGAAGGAGGAGCCATTCCAGCATTTATTAATCTTGTGTCATCACCACACCCACACATCAGCGAACAGGCTATTTGGGCTTTGGGGAATATTGCTGGTAATGTAGATACCTTACTTCTTATATTGAATTGTTGTGCAATTCCTTTTTTAATGTGTTATTATTTTATGTTTTGCAATGTGATCAGTAGTCAATCATTAATTGCAAAAATATTAAAAGTAAGGATTTTTTGTATTTTAGGCGATGGACCTAACGCAAGAGACCAGATTATCTCTCATAAAGGTCTTCATCCTCTACTGAAGTTGGTGCATGTTCCAGATCTCGATGTCTACACTGTAAGTATATATACGACATCTGTCAACTTAAACTTTTGCCAGAACCGTGTTTAATTATGTTTCAACTTTGTAACGCCAATCAGTCAGATTACCTGCGTAATCTTGCTTGGACTCTATCCAACCTGTGTCGAAGTAAGAATCCTGCCCCTCCACTGACAGCAGTAGAGGAGCTGCTTCCGGCTCTCCATGCTCTCCTCCTTCATAACAATGATAAAGCAGTGCTTGCAGAAACCTGCTGGGCCGTGTCCTATTTGACAGACGCCTCCAATGAGAGGATAGAGATGGTGGTTCGTGCTGGACTGGTGCCCCACCTTGTTCGACTTTTAGCCTGTGGAGACCATACTATCGTTGTATGGATTTCTTTTTTTTTCTTTAGTCTTCTGTATCCTTATTTATAAATACTGAATTTAAACTTGCTATATTATACAGACACCTGCTTTGCGATCACTTGGAAACATTGTGACAGGGACAGACGAGCAGACACAGTGTGTGCTGAATGAAGGTGCCTTGACCCACTTCCCTCTGTTGCTCCGTCATCAAAAGCCCAACATCCAAAAAGAAGCCGCATGGGCAGTGTCCAATATTACAGCTGGCAAAAACAACCAGATCCAGGCAGTTATAGATGCTGGCCTGATACCAATCCTTGAAGAAATTCTAAGAAGTGTAAGAAAGAAAAAGTAATGTTTTGTTTGCAGAAAATGTCTATGTTTTTATTGAAGAATATGGTGTATTTTACATAGGGAGATAACAACACACAGAAGGAGGCTGTGTGGGCAGTCACTAATTTTACAAATGGAGGAACTGTGGAACAGCTAGCTTACCTTGTCCAGTGCCATGTACTACCATCATTGGTTCAACTGTTGTCTGTAAAAGATAACAAAATAATTTTGATCATCTTGGAGGCCATCCATAATATTTTAGAGGTATTTGGAACTGCTTCTTCTTAGTGAAATAAGTTACCTATATCTGTAAATAAAAATGTACATAGTTGATGTATTATCATTTTAGAAGATACTTTTTTTATCCTAATATAGATGGCAAAAAACACTGGTGAGAGTGATAAACTACTCTCAATATTTGAGGAGGCCGGTGGGCTTGAGCAGCTTGAAATACTAATGAGCCATGGCAACGAGGCGGTTTACAAATCGTCCCAGAAAATATACGACTGCTTTTTAAGTCAGAAGGTAAGCCTTTCCTATCTTATAGTACCTCTAAATTGTGCATCTATATATAGTATGAGTTGTGTTTGACATTGTGCTAATTAACTATAGGTCAACTTACCACTAAGAATAACTTTATTGACATTGTATTTGGGAGCCACCTGTTGTAGTGGAGTGGATGCACACTACATATCTAGTACATACTGCATGAACATGTTCACCGTGCTCACTTTTGTTATTATTTGCTAACTTGTGACTTCTAGGTACATCTATAGAGATAGATCTCAACATGCTCCTCCATATTTTTTGTTAATTCTGCCACTTATGCTGCATGTAACAGGCATGTCCCATTGGTGATTCTTAACTTAATATCACAAACACTTACTAGAATGTCAACTCTAATGTCAACTAGATATCTTTGTCAAAAACATTCTTTATCTTATATTTGTGCCAATTGGTTCATCAGTTTGTGAGGCAGTGATTGTCATACCTTAATATGTGTCTGGTGTCTAATTTTGTTTGTTTTAAAGGATGAAGAGATGGCTCCTCCTGAGGCTATGGGAGATGCTTTGGAAACGTTCACATTTTAACAGTTGATAATACACATATTTGACATTGTGTTGTTTCATCTTCTTTAACTGTGTGTACACACAATTATATTACTGGGCAGAACCCTCAAGCTCCCTGGCTTAGAGAGGGCTAACCGCCCGCGAAGGGCAAAAGGTGTGTGTATTTATATATATGTATATATAAATGTATGTGTATTATATATTTTAACATTCTTAAAATAACATTGTCCAGTCATTTCTTCTGAATCTCGGATTTTTATTTTTATGTTTATACTGTCATATAACATAACTGTTATAAGTCACAATCTCCGGGTGCAGCGCTCTGCTGTTGTACCCTACGCTCCTATGGAAGGGGTGGGTGACTTCAACTGTCATATGGCCAATGTCCGGGCGAAGCCGTAAGACATGATTAATGGTCTGCTTTTGTTAATTTATGTTTTGTGATCAAAAGCTGTTTTTGGTTTAAATAGATCTTGCAACAAGTTTATTGCCTTTTCTCTACCCATTGGCTAAAGGACATTTCTTAAAGTGCATGAGTAAACTCACAATTATGTACTATTGGAGTCAATAATGAATTGTCCTTCCAGTTTCTCATTTGATGCAAAAATGTTTACTGAATGAGAGACGATTATACTTTTAATATAGGGGAGAGTGGCTGAAGAAGAGTAGATGCTTTCAATGAAGCTGGATTCACGTTTATTGTCTGAAAAACCTACTTATTGTATTAAACTGAAATTTCGAGTTCATCCTAAATCGGACCTTCTTGTCTAAAATATCCTAGAATGCATCATAAAGAGAGTGACAGTGGCACAATTGGTAGAGCATTGGCCTTTGAGTTCAAAGGTTGTGGGTTTGAGCCCACCATGACCTACTTCACGACTCCCACTGATGTCTGCTGTCGATGTGTCCTTGGGCAAGACACTTAACTCCACTTTGCCTGAAGCCCCACTGAAAGATCAAAGCCCCTGTGGACTCACCACCACCCCCTGAAATGGATTAAGGGGAAGAAAATGGATGGATATCAAAAATATAATAGACTCATTGTCCTCATATGAAGACCTGTACAAAAACACAGTTTAGTTTAATGCTGTTTACATTTGATATAGTTTGGCTATATACTTACTTATATATATACTATATACTTTCACTCCCAAACACCAAGCTCGAGTCTCAGGGGAACTACTGTCCCTTTCCATGGTCCTTTTCACAAGTATTTTTATAAATGTTATCACAAGATGGCGCTGTTATTCTTACAGTCAAAGTCTTTGATATTTATTTAGATCGTTTACAACCATTGCCGTGGCAAAAACATAATTCAAAAAGTAGGGTTTCTTATTGAATCAGCATGAGCGATGCGATAAGCCTACAGATTTTTTACACTGGTTCACTTGCAAATTGCAATTCGTTATTATCCTAAAACATACTGCAATTTTCGATTTGTGTTCACAAACATATATGCAGTTTGTAATGAAGGGTAGAATTGTGTTTTGGAGTAAACGCCTTATTGGGCATGTCCATGGTTCCAGTCTATGGTCCATGGACAGAGGGGAGCTCTTACGCTGACAGGCTGCCCCGGGTGTGTGGTGCTTTATGTGCGGGGAGTCCACACGCTCCTGTCTTTAGCTCCGGCCAACTTCAGTCTGTGTGGAGCCCTGCGGATGGAGGACACCGCTGTCACAAGATTTTTTTTATAAACTCCGCAGTTTTCTCACCGTGTGTTTTATTTGAAATGTTTATCAGATGATTTGTATGCGTCTCACTAATAAGTCCTATTTCCAAGGACTTCATTTACTGCACACAATCAACGCGATGTGCTATGGTGTTTCTTGGAGCTAATCCGGAGCTAACAGCGCCAGGCTTGTTTGGGGGAATACGTTCTTGAAACACATTTTATACGCCAATACCTTTTTGAATAATTGCCAAGCTGGAATATATAGGGGCATGTCTAACCAAGGAGTGAGGAGAAATGGCCCTGTTAAACTGCGATTGACAGGTAAGAACATTGAAAACCCGACCCTGCTGTGTGTTAGCCTGTTAGCCAACCATGCTAACTATCGTTCATGTAGCTGCAGCACAATGACGACTGGTCTCAGATCTGTCTCATTGTTGTAGAGAGGATACTTAAAACACACAGGTTTACATTTATCTGCATTTAAGCTTATGTTCTGATTGAAGACTTGCATTAATGTGGAATCGTGACTGCAGTGAATACTCTATGAACTGCTTAATGGGGATGTTTTATTTCGCCTCTTCAGTGGATCCATAGTAAGCCCTAGTCTCTGGCTTTATAGCATGGAGCAGCCATTAGGTTTGATGTTGCGACTTTGTTTCCTAAATGTATACACTACTATTCGTTTTCTCCGCATATCCCCAAGTTATTGATAGTCATTTGATACTAATTTATTCTAGATATAGTTCTTTTGTCTTTGTTTGAGCCTGCGTTTCAAAAAAATGAGTTGACCATTTGAAGCTATGCGTTTTACAAATGATCAGAAGTTTATAGTTTTAAAATAAAGTTATCGTGCATATTCATTCTGTATCTTCAATCTCGTACTTCTCAAATATAGTAGCGTTAATTTATCTTGAATGTTTTTTTCCGGTGTGATGTCCTGTTGGCATGACCTACGTCCCCTCTTCCACATATGGAGAATGGTTTTAAAGAAATGCTGCAGTGGTCTTCAGGAGGAATTCTAGGAATGTGAAATGTGTGGATGTATGAGTGTTTCCAGTTTGCAGACACATCCTCAGTCTGCTCTCTGCGCTGAGGTCTTTCCTCTGCAGGGTCTTCTGGGTTCACACACAGGGATCCTCTCCTGTCCATTGTTGTTACAAACTGTTTAGTGTTGATTTATGTGTAGTACCAGCTGTCCGTCTGACACTGTCTAGAGTTGTATGAGATGATTGACTACACTGCTCAACTTCTTATTTTATCCACATTTTCCTTTTCAGAAAGGAAATGATACTTTTATTTATGCATTCAACACATCCAGGAAATGCATGTGTTCAGTGTTTGTCACTGTTACTTAGTTCTTATAATATACTTTTTCTATGATTTAAAATATGATTGTTTTGCCACAAACCTGCTGTGATGTCTGTCCTCCAGCCGAGCAGTGGAGGTGCCGTGGACACACTTTGGCAGAGCAACACTTTGTTGCAATAAACTTTACATTAAAGCTGTGCCAAAATCATAATCTCAATTTTGATTGATAGCAGTTATAGACACATTAATTAACATAAATAACTCCAATCATGTGGCAGTAATAGTGCAGTGAGCTGAGGGCAAACTCATTTGTTTAGGATAAAAGTAGCTGAGTCCTTATTGCTAATTTGTGTGTCCTTGCTCTGTATGAAGGTGCACCAATAAAACGGATGTATAGATAGATCAGGGGGAGTATCCCCCCTCTCTGTGGCTTCACCAACGTTGCATAGTTTTGATATAAATTGTCAAAACATTCTAACTCCTGTTATTTTCAAAAATGACCATGCTGTGTGTCAAACTGGTGAAATATGTTGCAGATATTTTGGAATTGTATAATTTGAATAATCTATTGCTCTCCCAGCTTACTGTCTCGTGCTCCCCCTTGCAGAAACACTGCTCTACACTAATCGCTGGTGCCAAGCTGCAACAGTGCAGTCTGATGGGAAAATCATCCCTTGGATTCCTTCATGGTTATGCAAGGAAGCCTTTCTTTTCTTTATAGTCTCTGTACCGCAGACTAGTATTCCTCAGTCTAATGGCACGGAGCTAGAATTAACTCATCCAAATTCAGCCCATAAACCCCGTAAACTTGTTTCAAGTTTTAATTGACAACTTTTTTATTCAAAAGTAAAACGTATATTTAAAATGTTGGTTTCCATACCATAAAGTGCTGAACCTTGTATTGGGATTAAATTTGCGAATATATTCATAAAATGTATTTATTTAACTAGAAATGGTTAAAAGTGATCATAAATGGAGTTCGCCGATATGAGCTAAGCTTACTCTGACCAATCAAACCTGTCATGGTACATCTATTACATATTAATATTTCTAGCCCTGCACATTACTGATTTACCGTAAATTCATCTGGATTTTGTTGTATGTTATGTAGATGTTGTGTTTTGGTTTAAAAACATTTTTCACGTTTGGATCTGATGGCATCAGGTCGTTGAGAGCAGGAAACTTGAAAGTCCAAATTCTGTATTTGTATAACAAAGTCTTGGCTGCAGAGGAGGTGAGCATCCGTTTGCAGAATATATTGATTTTCCAGCAGTTATGAAGGAGTTTCTTGGATAATGTCCATAGTTTTTTGTCACATTTCCTGTTTCTAAGTTTCTTGTTTTAAAACTTGTAAAAATAGAATTGGTTCATTTAAAAATCTTTTGCAGCAGTCTTAAGTTTATTCCCAGAGACTTTTAGGAAATGCTAACCTGCTAGCTCAGTGAAGCCCAATAGGGTCTCATGCATGTTAACTACCAGCTTAAATAGACCAGGTTTTGTTCTTTCAGTCTCCCGATGACTCAAAGAACAATTTCCTGCAAGTGTTCAAATGTTGATTTTGTTTAAAAAAACAAAAAAAACAATGTTGACTTCAATACTATTTTGCACATAGTTATCAATACTATAGTTCAAGCCCCAAAGAGCCCATCCTTGCTCCTAAAGTGCATTCCTGCCTCTCCTCCTGCATCCTGAGCTTTCCCTTCTTCCCTTCTCTTTCTTGAACAGGAAGCCCCTCTTCCCTTTTGTCTTGTCTCTTTCCTTCCTCCATCCCTCAACCCCCGGATCTTTCCCAGACTGACGATGGTTTCTCTCCTTCTCTCCCCAAATTGTGACCACTGCACAAATGCTTCTCCTGGAGTTTGGAAAGACTGAGTCCTTGTCTTTACAAAAACTTAAAATGAAATGGTATAGTTGGAAATACAATACAATTTATTCTTGTATAGCCCTAGGTCACAACAGAAGTCATCTCAGAGGACTTAACAAAACCATTGAAATCACCAACACAGGTCAGAGAATCAACAGCCAAAACACATGGAGAATATAAAGCACACACAGAAGAAAATGTCCATACATGTTGTAGAATGCTAAAGTGTCCTGATCATCACCAATCCTTTCTGTTGGACACTAACTGTCCAACAAGACCCTCCTGCATCGACAAGGAAAAACTCTTAAACCCAGTGGGAAAAAGTGAGAAACCTTGGGGAGAACTAGGGAAACCCACAGGGAGGGAGACCCATATGAGAAAGGGATCCGCTCCTCCGGACGGACAGGCTAATGATCCAGGACCTAAGCTAGCTACAGAACGTGGACCAGTGGCCGCTGAACGTGGACAGGTCCGGTGCAGGACTGAAGCACTCCCAGGCGGGTCGGGCGGGGCAGTCCGCAGGCGTAGATTGAGGAGGCCAGGCTCAGAGATCCCGTCATCGTACCATGAAACAGACAATGGGACAATGGGTGAATAGCAATGAACAAACTACTGATTTTGTCTTTGTTCTGAGTGTTGCAGGAGGTCTCCCATCACACTACTAACTAGGCTCTGCCCTGCTTAGTGTCTGAGATGTGACAGGATCAGGCTGTCACATGTAGGCAGTGCCACATTTTTCTGACGCGAGATTAAATCGGCAACACAAATAATTTCTGCTGCAGAAACATGAGTCCTGTCCTCACACACGACAGTCATGGCCCACTGGTTTAGACCTGGTTCAGAGGCTCTGGATATGCGGGAGGCAGTGTGCCGTGCACCTAACAGATTATTAAAAGTTTGTCAGATTGTTCTTCTGCTAATCATCATGACACCTGTATAAGATCCATATTGTACATTTTATATATTTGAATAATCATTAACATGACAAAAAACCAAGTCCCTCCTTGGGGTGGGCGATATATCGTAGGCAATACTAATGAATATATATATATATATATTTTATTTTGATCTCTAATACATATTACAATTAAGAGCAGGCAAGAAGCCCATTTGTCAAATGCGTGCCTAAAAAGCCGATCCCTTTATTTGTACAGTTCAGTAAATATTGAGCGTTTTTGGATGTGTTCATGTGTTACTTGAATTGGATTTTTAATGGTAATGTTTGTGCATATTTTGCAAAGATGTGTGAAGCACTTCACAAATAAAAAGCTGCTATTCTGATCTACACTGTTTCTATCTATAGCTGTCCTAGCAAAAAACATTGCAGATCATTTTGTGTAAACATTATTGATTTTAAAGATATCGTGACAATATAGTTAATATCGAGATATTTATATTTGCCCATATTGCCCACCCCTAGTCCCTCAATGTTTTTTTTTTTTTATAGGAAGAGTGGTTCGGCAGCGTCAATTGAAGTGCATGTCTTGGACAATGAGTGAAACTTAAAGCACTAAGTTGAAGAGATACAAAAGTGTAGCCAACACTTCTAAGCAAAATATACAACGTACTTTTCGTCTAAAGTAAAAAGTAAATCGACCTCTTGGTTACTAAAATAGACTATGGCTGCAGCTTAATCATACTCGTTTCCGCATGGATTTGTCTAACATGCTGGATTACAGTTGATATTTTATTTTATCTGATTTATTAGTAGTTTAGGAGGAAAATGTCATGTTTTATCTTTAAGCTGAAGTGAACCCACCGGATGACCTCCTGACAAACATTTACACTTGTAATGTAACTGCTAAATGTCATCTCTTGGCACATTCATGTTTTGGAGTCTGATTACAGCAAGTGAGGTTTAATCAATTATAGGGCTGCAACTAACAATTATTTTGATAATCGATTAATCGGGCGATTATTTTTACGACTAATCGATTAATCGGTTTATGTACTTATATTTTAGTTTTGCCAATTTTTTTCCAAGTAAATTGTTAACAAAGGGCCTTCATCATTCAACATAGACTTTTTAGAGATTTTAACCATTTTACATATTCATATCCACATCAAAAACATATCTGGAGCTGTTTGTTATGTCTTTGTAATCCTTTGTTGAACTCAATGTCGACCATCAAAACAAAACACTGACGTT